ATCGCGCGCGAGCGCTCGCGGAGAACCTCGCGCGATGGGCGCGCGACCGCGCGTCGGGCGACCGTGGACGCGAGCGCGAATGGGCGTCCACGCGTCGGGCGCACGGCGTCGAGCCGTGACGCACGCGACCCGTAACATTTTCGACATTTTCGCATAGATCGCACCCGGGTGCGGGTCAGCGCCGTCTCTAGGTCCCAATCAGTCGTCGACGAGTCGCTCCGGCTTCTCTGTTCCTTGACGAGCGGCATCTGCGTCTGAGCAATACGACATCGTGATCGAACAACTGCGACGAAGATATGACATGCTCTTGAACCGGCATCATTTTTAGATTTCGCCCATTTGTATGGACAATCGTCGTTTTGGCCCGTTTCTACGTTGTGACTGGAGAAAAAAACGCGAAACAAAAAGACCCCTTCACGAGTCACGAACCGTTTGAAACGGAGGTTCGTATTCGATATCTTTGATAGGCTTAAAAAAGTAAAATATCCGTGCCTAGACCGAGGGTCGAACTCGGGATCTTTCGCTTACAAGGCGAACGCGTTACCACTGCGCCATCCAGGCCGAGACTCGCTGAGCGCGAGAGGGGTATTCGTGTTCGCGGTTCATCACTCGTTCGAGGGGACTCGGTGGGACCGATCGCGTCGACGACGATGGTGTCGGGGATGTTACGGGTAGTTTTCGACGCGCCGCGGCGATGGCGTCGTCGACGCGGCCCGTCCCGGCGCGCGGCGTCGCGCTCGAGCGGTTCGACGCGGGAATGGCGGTGATGATCGACGGCGCGCGCGTGGTCGAGCGCGGCGTGCGCGCGCGAGAAGGGGCGCGAGCGGGGGAGGTGTTGATGGTGACGGAACCGTATTTCGCCGTCCTGCGCGAGCGATACGTCGACGCGGTGTCGTGCGCGACGTTTAAGACGATCGCGCGGGACGATGCGATCGTCATGGTGCACTGTGGGATCCGGGAGCGAGGGAGGGCGAGCGATGGGGCGTTCGAGAGCGTGGTGGATGAGTGGGCGCGATTGTTGGCGCAATCGAGTCGCGGGACGCCCGCGGCGGAGGTGCGTATGGCGATGGGATGCCTGCTTCGAAAGCGACGAGAGGACGAGGGAGTGATCGAGAAGCGAGAGTATGGACTATTGGGAGAACGCGGGTTCGCGGCGATCGAGGCTTTGCACGAGGGCGTGAGCGCGAGGAAGGACGCGGATGGCTCGGACGCGCGACGGTTGGACCGGGTGATGGAGATTTCGTCCGCGGGCGTCGTCACCGCGGCGTTGATGGCGGGGACGATGCGGAAGGGGGTGACGGAGGATGACATCGAGCGCGCGATGACGGCGATGAAGGAGAAGTACGGGATCGATGCGAAATCGTGCGTGAAGTTGTTGTCGATTTTGGAGGCAAACGGATTCTCCATCACGCAGGGTGACGGCGATCCCGACCGTCTCGGGTTTGGGATTTATCCCGACGCGTCGCTGTTCAATCACTCATCGCGCGCGAACGCACAGGTATCTTTCATCGGTAAGACGCTCGTCGTTCTCGCGACACGAGACATCGCGGCCATGGAGGAGGTGACGATTTCGTACTGCGACAATTACATGTCGCAGGATTGGAGGCGACGAAACATGCTCGCGGGGTACGGATTCGACACGTACAACGCGTTCGGGGTCGAAAATAGAAAACGTGCGGACGAGGCAAGAGCACGCGCGATGAGCTCAGCCTCCCGAAGGCCCTTGGACGGTGAAGTCAACGACGGCCACATCGAATTCGGCGAGAGCGTCCATCCGAGCTGGGAGAGCTCGATGAGCGCAATGATGAGAGAAGAATGCAAGATAACCGACAAAAAAGATTGTGGTCTCGGTGTGCACGTCGATTTAGGCGAGGACGTCGATTGGTTCGCCGACGAGCTTATACCAGATCGAAGTCTCGCGAACGACGCGTCGTGGTTCGCGCTCTCACACGACGGCGTCGATTACGACGCGGGCGTGGGAATCATGCTCGTCAAAGCTGACGGTGGACGTAAAGACATTTTCGTGCGTAAGGATGACGAAATCGTCACCTGGGGAAAATTCCCACCGGGGGTCGATAGAGAGCTCACGGCGCTGAATTTCGCCATGGCGTGCGACATCATCTTCAAACTACGAATGGAAATAGAGGAGGGTGCTTTCGAACGAGAAGATTATTCCAATAGTCTTCCCGCCGCGGGAGAGTCCCTAGCTGGAGAGAACGCACTGATGAGACTCGAGCGTGTTAGCGAGATGTTAGCGGGGAACGGCAACGACATTGCAGGCGTCGGAAGTCGACATGAAGTGAGAAAATATCTGTGGTTGACGATGTTACCAATCGTGTACTTGCCAGGGGTTAGTAAGACGCAACGTGGATTAACGATGGCTTTAGGTGCCACTAATTCTCTTCGAATCCTCTACGCATCCTGCGAAGATACTTTTTCGCCGTACGATTCCGCTTACATGTGCTTCGTGTTTAGCTGTTTCAAGTTGGGACAGCTCGCTCTCCACTCGGACATTTCTACTCCGGGGTGCGATTTCATACGTGTGAGATCGCGGGTGAAGAATCAGATTCTGTTGTACAACGAGTTAAAGACGAACATGAGCAAGGCGAGCGCGCCGGGAATGGAGATGCACGAGGAGTGGGCAGAAAATTATCAAGTATGGGGCCACGACCTCGAGATGTTCTACAAGAAGTTCACGAGACGGAAGTAGACCGGTGTGACTACCAGTACCCAGAGTTAATGAATGTGAATGAATGAATTTAGGTGGTAGACAATGCAAACTTCGGCGCCGTTCCCGTCTGCACGAAACCAACTTTCCATCCTGCACGTATGAGCGCGTCCTCGAAATCAGCTGTTTGGGAGTCGGCGTAATCATACGCGCTCACAACGGAAGATCTATCGATACGCAACTTCTCGCACGCCAACGCGGCTGCAAGCATATCTCTTGGTGTCGCGCTCTCCAGGATGAGCGCAGAGGCGACGTCACCGCGCGATGAATCGAATCCTAACACATACGGATGACCATTCGACGCATTCGTAGCTTCGATGAAGGCGTCCCACGTCGATCCGATCTCATTCGGCGATGCGCCGAACGTCGGTGTCGTCAAAGTACGTCGGGGCTTGTAAACGCCCTCGATTTCACCGATCTCGACGCAATTCGGAAGCTCGATTTTGCCGTCGCTTGCGACGTACGCCTCGGCGAGGCGCAAGAGACGAAAACCGTTTAGAGAATCAAACTTTAAAGATCTCGCCGCTTGCCAGCACGAGAAGATGTGCGCGCCGATGACCAAGCCGTAGCCCCCGAACGCGGCCGCGGCGGCGCCGAGCTCGTCGCCCTCGGCGTGTAACGCGCTCGCCTGTGCGTTCACGAGCTGAAACACCTGAATCCCGACGGGGAGCGCCACGAGCGCGAGCCATCGTCCCTGGACCTCGAGTTTGGCGCGAATGTCTCCCAAGTTGTTGTTCCTACCGAAGTGTTGCATGAACGTCCCGTTCATCAGACTCCCACGTCCCGTGAGCGCAGCCGCACGCACGAATGTAGCGCTCGCAGCGAGCGGCAGAAACAATCCCGGCGCCGCCGGCGTCACCAACTCGATCGCCCGCGCCACGTCCTCCAGCGCGTTCGACACCGCCCACCACCGCTTCGGATCTTCGTCGTACCACCTCCCTCCGAACGCTCCCGCGAGCAAAGTCGCGAACGACCCCACGCCGTCCTTTAACACCCACTTCGCCGCCGCCGTGAGCGGCAGCGCGCCCGGCGTCGATCCCACGCCCAGCGCCACCAACAGCGACTGCGCCGACATAATCTCGATCACATCTCGGAACAACAGCGACGTCAAGTGCCATCGCAACCAATCGGCGTAATCCGCACTCACCGTCTGCGGGAACCCGCTCGGGAGGAACACCGCGCGGAGCTCCGGGACGCCGACCGCGCGTTCCCTCCCCGTCTTCGCGTCGATCGGTCGCGTGCGCGTGAACGCCCCACCGACGCTATCGCGCATCCATATCGCCCCCGAGGCGTCGCCGATGACCTCGGCGCACGTCAGCGTGCGCGTGGACGCGGTAGCGTTGGAACTCAGTCTCGAATCGTGCATTTCGTCGTCACGCGACGCGCGCGTTCTCCCTCGTCGCCCGCTCGAGCGCTCGAACGCTCGAACGTCGCATTTTCGACCTCTCTCGGTCGAGCGCGCGGCGAGCGCGATCGAGTTCGCGACGCGCGCGCCGCCCATGGAGGACGAAGCGTCGACGTCTGACGTCATTGTTCGCGACCGCGTCGCCTCGGCGCGTCGCGTCACCGCTCGAGAGCGCGCGTTCGAGAGATGTCGATCACTCTCGCGCGTGCGCGCGCGCGAATCGTCGCGAACGTCACCGGGCGAGGCGTCAGAGCGAGAGATTACGCGTCACGGATAGCTTCAGCGAAAAACAATCATCGACGACGCGTCGCGCCCGCGCGCGCGTCGTCGATCGAGGAGGTCGACCCGGAAGATCTCGCCCTCGTGGTTGAGCTCTTAGACAGCGAATCCGGGGAGGAGCTCAAGGAAAAAGTCGATCTGATGGCGAAGGGGGGGATGCTCTCGGCGGGTGTCGTGGAAGCGGCGCGCGTGGTCGCCGAGACGAACCGCGCGAGCGGGCAAGACGAAGACATCGTGCGGACGCTTGATGATTTGCACGAGACGCTAAAAATGAAGTTTCAGGAGATGGCGGCGGCGACGGTGAAGAGTGCGCTGGATTTCGCGCAAGAATTGATGAAGTATTTCACGGCGGAGGATTTGGAGGAGGCGAATGCGAGCGTGGCGGTGAACAAGGTGCAGTTGATGATGCGCGAGGAATTCGAGAAGGCGAACGGAGTTTCGAAAGCGGCGCTTGCGAAGTATTTGGACGAGGTCCTACCAGTGATGGACGAGCAGGATAAGCGCATTCAGGACGCGCTCGCACAAGCGGAGACGGATGAGCAGCAGGCACAAATCGTCAACGTGATGATGCAGCGAACGAAGGAACGGATGCAGATCGAGTTTATCCGGGACTGCGCGGCGCGTATGTGAGTGTGTTGTCATTTTTTAATAAGGTATTAACATCAATCAGTTCGAAAATCGCAATCCGAACTTCGATCCGCCGCCTCTGTTTTGCCCTCTGAGTTCGGCGCCGCCGGCCAGACCGAGCGCGAACTCCGCCTTGGACTCGACCTGCGTCCCCGAGGCGCTGAACCCACTCCCGCCCTTTTGTAATCTAATCACGTCCTTATCCTTTCGAATCTTCACCCCGTTATACGACCCCTCCTTCTCGACCGCAAGCTTGTATCCCTCCTCGCTGAGCGCGTCTCCCGTCGGCTTGAGCACCACGATGCTCGTCGTGTTCGTCAACGTCTTAAACGTCACGGGACACATGTACCTCCCGCTCTCCCCGACTCGCACTTTTGTCCACTTGATCGGCACCAAATCTTTCATCCTCAACTTCTCCAGCGTCGTCGGACACTTGGTCTCTAGATCCGGTTTCTTGCATTCGTGCGTCAAATCGTCGCGAACGCCGCCGTCCATCTTCCAAAACCCATCCAATCCCTCCGTTCGCCGCTTATTCAGCTCCATCGCCTGCGTCGACGTCGCCCCCGAATATGTCTTCGAATCATCATCATCACCGCTCTTCTCTAACCGAACACCGGCGTGATTCTCCGCGTGAAACGCCTCCGCCGCGTCTCGCCGACGCTTCTTCGCCCGCTCTTCCTCCGCCGCCGCCTTTCCCGCCTCCTCCCGCTCCCACTTTCGCAACTTCCGCTCCTGCTCCAACCGCTGCGTCGCCAAAGACTCCACGATCGCTCCGCGGTCGTACACGACGCCCGCGCGCGTGCACACCGCGTCGTCCGTCTCGCGCAGCGTCAACGCGCACGCGTGAAAATCCTTCACCGTTTCCTTACCCAGGCGCTCTTTCACGACCCCGTAGCCCAAGGCTTTGCGTTCGGCGTGCGTGAACGCCTCCGAGCCGTGGGTTCCAGCCTGTTTGGAGTGTTTTCGCGAGCTCCCGCGCGGCATGGGAGGCGTTTTGTGTGGCCTCGGGCGATGCACTTTTTGGCGATTCGCGCACAGCGACGACGCATTCGGTGACGCCTCGCGCGCGATCGTTCGGTACCGTCCGTGAGGGCGCGCGCGCGAGTATCGGGCGTCGCGCGTCGGAATTCGGAGCGGTCGCGCGCGATGGACGCGCGATGGCGAGAGATTTGTGCGCCGAGACGAATCATCAAGAAGAAAGAGCTCAGGGGAGTCATCGATGATTTCTTCTTCAACGGCGCGATGACGAGCGTGGAGAGGGGCGACGGTGGGCGTGAAAGCATCGTTTCAACGCGATCGTCGATGACGATCGCGAAGGATGTCGAGATTTTTGGTCGTCGGCCTTCGGATGAGTTCGATCGCGCGACGCCTCGCGGACTCTGTCGCGTCGACGTCGATCGATTGCTCGCGCTCGGGTGCTCGAGATCCGTCGTAGATGAGTGCGGACGACGATTTTGGCGAAGTTCGAGCGGAGTCGATGAGGTCACGGTGCCGACGTCGGTGGTGGGGTGGTTGACGCACGCGGCGGCGCAGTACGCCGCGAGCGGGACGGATGCGAACGCGCGAGCGGACGCGCGCGGGAAGTGCGTGACGACGCGAGTGATCGAGCCGGGAGAGGCAATAACCGTCGATATTGACGCATTTATGGGCGATATGCGCACGAGCGGGGGCTGGGTGGGGGCGCGAGCGACGCCGGCGTCCAGGGACGAACGTGGCGACGATTTGTTAAGATGGCTAGCGTCGGCGCCGCCATGTGGTTTGCGGACGACGAGCGACGGTGACGTTGGTGTGTTCGCGCTAGATGCAATTTCCGTCGGTACGGTCGTAGACGTGTCGCTCAAACGCGTGGACGAGATCGTGCGCGGTCGACGCATCGTCGGTGAGACGCCACACGGAAAATTGGCCGAGGCGCTCGCCACACACGGCGATCGCGGCGCGATGGCTTTACATCGCGTGCAGGAACGATTTTCGTTCTCACACACGTACCAAACGTTTCCACTCGCGGCATCTCTAGATGAAGTGACGACACTGAGCGCGATGAGACATTCGGACGATCCGAACTTAGTGCCAGCAAACGGCTCGGCCACAGCGCGCTTCAAGGCGACGAGAGATATCGGTGCCGGGGAGGAGCTGACGGTGAATCGAGAGGTCGTGTGCGTCTTGGAGGTTCCGGGCACTGGTGGGTTTCGTGCATTTTACGAACACAACGTCAAGGGGGAGGAACCACCGTGGGCGCAGGCGGGCGCAGGCAGGCGCTCGCGTGGTGGTTTGGACTATAGCAAGTGGGACAACATCTGCTCGAGCTCAGAGTCGGACGGCGATTGATAGAACTAGAATTCCTAGACGTTGTACAATTACAAAGTTTTGTGCAAAGTTTTTTCTACGGGCGCTCGTCGAGGTGGGCGTTTATCTCGCTCGCGATATACTCGGCTTCTTTTCGACTCATACTCGCGAGAATGGGCACCACTGAGTCATCCTCAAGCTTGAGATAAATCAAGCCATCGCCCCGTACAAACGCGCCCTCAACGGCGTCGGTGTCGCCAGTTTTCTCCATGAACTTCATACCGCCTCCCTCGCTGACGACTCGGAAATTTTTTCCGTCGATAAAGACCTCACCCTTCGCTAGGAAAGCCTGAAGAACTTCGCCTGAGAGGTTCGCGCCGATGCCCCAGAACGGTATTGAGAATAACGCCATGAACCACGCCCCAGCGGAGAGCACTCCAACTGTCCACAACGCGGTGATTCCGGTCCACGTGATCCCAAAAAACGCTTTGTACAGGATAGCGCCGTTCGCCCCGGAAGGTGGAATGATGATCGACACCGACTTTCCGCGATCGCGAACTAGTTCCGTGACCATTGTCTTCGGTTTCGGCGCCCCAGTTGGGCGCACCGACTGCGACACTACCTGCGAGTACGGATCTTCCAGTGCGACCAGACCCGATGGCGCTAGTACATCGATATCGCTCGGTCGTCGACGAAAATTTCTACCGCTCACCATAGGCGGCTTTGCGTCTAGCGCGTCAAGAGCCTCTTGCGGATCGCGCCATCGATCCTCTGGTGACGGCTCAAGCAGGCGCTCCACGACGCGTCGCAACTGTCTGTCCTCGATGTATACGTCATCAAAGTTAATTTTCAGTCGCTCCATGGCGAACCCGGACGGAGGTCTGCCGCTCAATAGGTAGAGAATCGTCGATCCGATGCCGTATTGATCGCTCCGCACACTGGACTGTCGCATCATCACTTCGGGCGCCATGTACCCGAACGTCCCCACGATCGTGCTTCCGAACCCACCGAGCGGGTCCTCGATCGCCGCTGCCGCTGCGCTCCCGAAATCTACCACGTTTACCATCCCGTCGTGGTCTAACACCACGTTCGCGGGTTTAATGTCCCGATGAATCACCGGTGGGCGCAGGGCGCAGCAATACTTTGCAACCTCCAACAACTGTCTCAAAACGCTCTTGATCTCCACTTCAGTCGGACGCCACCCACTCTCGACCCTCTGCTGGAGCGTCGACCCTCGCGCTAATCTCTGCACCAGCACGTAACGCCGATCATCCGCCGTATCGAGCGAGAAAGAGTCCAAGTATTCTGGCACGTTCGGGTGCCGCATCGAGCGCAGCGTAGCGCACTCGCGCTCGAACAGCTCCACAGCCTTGAAACCTCCGTTCATCCCGCCTCTTTTTCCGCTTCGCAGCGTGAGAGTCTTCACCGCTACTTCATCGCCGGTCGACGTTTGCGCTCTAAAGGTGTCGGCGAAGGATCCCGAGCCGAGGCGCTCGACTAGCTCGTACGCCGCGCGCGTTGATGGATTCTCCAAAACCGTCCCGACGCCCACCTCGCTCGATGAGGCTTCGACGCGACGCTGGAGACGCGCGTGACTCGTACGACGAACGCGACGTGTTGGGGTCACGCGTGGGAGATTTTCGCGACGACCGAGCATGTCGAGTTGTGAGGCGTGAGACGCTCGCGCGGTGAGCAAAAGACTTTATCGCGGTGATTAAAAATACGTCGGGTAAGAGGCGACGTCCCGTGTACAGTAAAATAGAAAAAATCAGAAAATCAGACGCTTCTCGCATCTGCGGCGCGCGCGTATCGCCCGCCCTTGACGACGTTGTAATTTCCTTGACGCTCGGCCAGAGTCGGGAGGTTGCCGCTCGGGACGCCGGTGGCGAGCTCAACCCCGGCGTCGTCCACGAGCACAAATCGCGAGAAATCCTTCCCATTTTTGCCTGGGACCCACACCAGCTTCCACGCGATCTTTGATCGGAACTGCACGTGCGCGACGTCAGCCGGCGGCTCACTTGCGCTTCCGAGTATGCACGTGCACCACGAACCGCCTTCGCCCATGGTTTCATCCCTAGCCGCGCGAATCCCCTCACCCAGTGGATTCCTGTACGCCATACCGACCACTCGTCCCGAGTTCTCGTTATCCGCCTCTTCTATCGACATCGTCGTCGCGTCGACGTGATTGAAATCGTTGAAGCAGTGTCCGGTGTTTCCTTTGCCCGGGGCGACGTTGCGCAAATCCTTCAAACCCGCCGCCCACAGGAGCTTCGGTCGAACGACGCTGTCCCAGTCCTTACTGAGCTCGGATTCAGACAGCGACATCGCGCGCTCGCGGCCGTTGATCATGCGCTGCGTCGCGGTGCCGGGGTAATCGGCGTCCACGGAGGCGCCCGTCATCGCCGATCTCGCGCCGTACTCGGAGTGCGTCGACGCTCTCGCGGGTCGACCGCTCAGCGCGGCGGTGACGAGCCACGCGAGTGCTTTGCGTCGAGTGGCCTGGTTCGAGCGACCGCGGTGGGTCGTTCGTGGAGCAGCCGTCGCGCAGCGCGCGAGCATTGATCAGTGAGGTCATCGACGGCGGCGAGGACGAACGTCGATGCCGAAGACGCGAGGTCGATGATCTCCGTTCGATTCTTCATTTCTTTGCGTATCATTTTCGCGGTAAAACGACGCTCGGCTCATCACACGTCGAGATGTCGATCGTCCTCACCAGAGGCGTTCGACGCGACGCGCGCGCGGCACATCGGACACCGCAGCGCGTCGCGCGCGATCCATGACTTACACGCCTCGCAGCGAGCGCTCGGCGTCCAGAGCGGCTCGTGATCGGACCTCCTGCTCGCCGTGGCGACGACGCGTATGCACAGGAACAGCAAACCGAGCGTCGCCACGCCCTCGACGACCTGTTCTAAGAACTCGCCGAAATGAAAATCCACGCCCAGGACGGAGAACGACATCTCCCGGAGCGCGCGCCCGCGCGAACCGAGCGTGAGCGCGATGAGCGGAGAGATGAACGCGTCCACGAACGATTCCAGCGCATCGCTCACGACGCGCGCGGCGACGACGCCCAGCGCGATGGGGCTCGCTCTCGAGAGCGTCTCGACAAAAAACAACGTCACGTCGCTCGCCGTCTCCCCGCGTCGCGCGCGCGCCCGTCGCCCCGGCGGGAGCAATCGTCTGCGAATCGCATCGCTCGACGCGCGATCGTCGTCGCCGTCGCGTCGGGGCGCCATCGCGCGCGGTCGCGTCGAGCACTGCGGCGCTTCGTATCGCCGTGCGTCTGATGGGCTTCGGTGATGTAATGTACGACTATGCGTGACGCATAGACCACGCGTGCGCGCGACGACGACGTCCAACACTATTCGTGGTGAACACCCTCGGGGCCCCGCACACGCGACCGCGCCGACGGGTCGACGATGCGCGAGGACGCCCCGACGCCGCGGCGCCTCTCGGCGATCACCGCGATCGTCGCCGTGGCCGCCGTCGGCGCGCTCGCGATCGGCGTGGCGTCGACGACGGCGACGACCGATGGGACGACGTGGACGCGGGTGAGCTCGGTGGCGATGTTGGGCGAGGAGCTCCCGGAGGCGCGACCGACGACCCGCGCGCGCGTTGATCTGCACAAAAGACTTCGTGGGAAGCGTGTCGAGGGGATCTTCGGTCGATTGCGCGCGGCGCGCGGACGGGCACCGCGATTCGATCCGAAGGACTTTGACGTGGACGCCGACGCGGTGGCGTCCGCGGCGCGAGAGCTCCATCGCAGGGAGAGCTACGCGTTTGTGAACGGTGAGCTCGTGGGTGATCGGGTGCGCAGGGCTTGGGCGCGGAAGCACGCGTTTGTTGCACCGTGGGGCTCGGAGGCGCCGCCGATTGCGATTTTGGGCAAGGCGAGAAAGTCCGAGGATGAGGATGAGGTTGAGACTTCCAAGAAGCACCACCACGGGAGTAAGAAGAAGGATGAGGATGAGGATGAGACTTCCAAGAAGCATCACCACGGGAGTAAGAAGAAGGACGCGGCGAAAGAGAGCGACGATGACGACTCGAAGAAGTCCAAGGTGACCAAGAAATCCAAAAAGTCCAAGGAGGAGGACTCCGCAAAGGAATCAAAGGGGTCCAAGAAGAAGGCGTCGAAGAAGGGCAAGGACGACGACGACAGCGCAACGTTAGGGAAAAAGGAAGGGAAGAAATCGCTGTCCCTTGACACTCCGGTGTACATCATGACGCTGGGCGATAAAAAGTTGAAGAATCCTGACCCTACCATGGGTTCCACGGACGCCGAGCGCGCTTCGCAGTTGATCAAACTTCTCGTCCGCGAGTTCGGCACGAAGGACGTGAAGAAGCACGTGCGTTTGACGCCAGGCGTGGACGTGTACGACTGGCCGAAGAACGAGGATACAATGCACTACGCTCTGAAGACTGTCATGGCAAACAAACCCAAGGGGACGCAGCTCTCGGCGTTGCCGTGGATCAGCTTCTACACCAGTCGCGATAAGTCTGGGCACTTTGCCGATAAGTTTGCGGAAGAACGCAATCTGCAGACGCACATTGGATGCCTGTTCGGACACATGTTCCAATGGCAACTCGCCTCGGACGCGGGCGACGAAGAAGCCTTCATGTTTGAATCTGATGCGTCCAATCAATACATGATTGGCCTTCCGGTCAAGAGCATGGTCTCGCTGGTGGACCACGCCCCGAAAGGGTACGATATCATCTTCTTCGACGAACCGAAAATGGTCACCTTCGACAAGCCAGTTCGCACGTACAAGGATGAGAACGGCATGGAAATCAACATTTACGCCTTCAACCAAAAGAGTGGGCAGAGTGGTTTGAGCGCCTCCTTAGTCTCCAAGCGATTTTACCCCAAACTATTCAAGCACGTGGCACACTTCGGCGCCGATGTCGTCGATGCGATGTTGAAGGTGCAGCTGTGCGCAGACTCGATGGTGGATGCGTCAGGGAAGTTCACCGGATTCGGCGCTGGTAACAAGCCTTGGCTCAAGTGCTACTGGGCGCTTCCGGCCAAGGCCGCGCACGTGAAGGACGGGAAGTACGTCTACAATTAATCAGCTTCTTTTGATTAAGCTTTAGCGAAAGCGTGCGATGGTAAATATACATTTCAATGCGATTGAATGATCGACAACTAAAAAAGAGAGAGCATCGCTCTTTCTTGCGCGCGCGCCTCTCGATCTCGCGCATGGAATCGACCAGATCTCTCCCCTCCTCTCTCCGCGTGTTGAACACCCCCGTGATCACCGTGAGCGAAATGATACTTGTCGACGAGTTCATTCAGGTTGTCCACCGCCTTTGTCAACGACGCTAGGTAGTTCACCAAGAGCACATCCTCGTACTCGTCCACGAACGTGTCTCGCACTGAGTCGCTTGAGCTCGCTCGAAGATCGTTCATCACCGACACGATCGAGCGTAAGACGTCGAAGTCAATCGCTGCATCGCCGTTTCGCACCGCGGAGAGGTAGCCGAGCGTCGTACGCAGGCGATCCCTCAGAGCGCGAGTCGCCTCTGCTGCGCTCTCGAGACTTTTCACAGACGTCGCCGAGTGCGACGCATCCTCCTCCTCTAGCGAAATATTCGCCAACGCGTCCACGACGATCCGTTCGCTCTCCCCGGTCTCCATTGAAAACTCTCGCTCGACGAAGCCATCGCTCGTGCGCTCGTACCACTTCATCTTTGGCGGCTCGCTCGCGTCGCCGCCCGCGCCGCACTTGACCAACGCGCTCGCGTCGTTCGCCACGCCGTCGCCTTGATCACCTGTCTCCCGCTCCCAATCGCGCACCTTCGCCGCCAACGAATCAAACATCTCCAAGTCACCGTCCTCGACCGACCCATCGTTCATCGACGCCCGATAAAACCCAACGATTGAGCACTCGCTTCGCGTTCTTCGCGCCCGCGCGAGCGCTAACTTCCCGTGTTCGTCCTCGATCGTCACCGTCCCCGTCGCTCGATCGCGTCGTCCGACCAGCTCCACCGCGCACAAAACATCTCTCACGCTCCCGCCGTCACCGTTCTCGACTCCGAATAGGGCACCGATCGCGCACGCTTCCGTCGACGCATCTTCATCCATCAGATCAATGGTCGTCTCGGAATCAGTAACACCGCCCGCGTCTCTCCCTTCACTCTCTTTTCCCATCGCCGTCGCGTTCAGACGCAGGCGTAGGAAGTGATCGAGCATCTGCGCGAGCGCCAGCGGGTGCACGCGCGTCGACGACGACGCGCGAGGTCGAGACGGCATGACAGCGAGCGACCGGCGTCAGTTTCTGGCGCGGCGTTCGCGCTCGCGCGCGCGTCATGGCGAGCGACGCCGCCGATCGAGGACGACGGACGATGGATGGTCACGCGATGGTCCTTCGAGCGAGCGATCGCGCGGATAACGAGGACATCGGCGACGTGAACGAGGATCGCGCGGATGAAATTGCGACGAGCGGGACGAATTCGAGCGCGGCTTCCGACGCATCGGACGTCCTGGACGACGACCGCGCGTCGCCGAGCGCGATCGAGGGACGTCTGAGCACATGCGAGCGAACGGTCGATCGGTCGACGAGCTCGTTCACGGAGAGCGAGAGCGAACCGCTCGAGCAAGAGGGAGGGACGCGGGAAGAATTCGCGAGGTCGGCGAGTCCGAGCGCGAGCGCGCTGAACGTGGCGTATCCGATGTTTTTGAGCGATGAGCGACATCACCTGGCGTTAGTGACTTTGGATGATGTGAATGAGGGTGACGTGGCGGAAGACTTGCGGCAGGAGTGGCGAACGAAGGATCGGATGAAGACGGTGAGCGTGGCGCTGGTGCTGTGTCTGAACATCGGCGTGGACCCGCCGGATACGATGAAGATATCGCCGTGCGCGCGGATGCAATGCTGGATTCAGCCGATGACGACGCAGCCGCAGAATGAGTTGGACGCGATAGGGAAGGCGCTGCAGGCGCAGTACGAGCGATGGCAACCGAGGGCAAAGTACAAGCTGCAGCTCGATCCAACGACGGAGGATATGAAAAAGTTGTGCATCTCGTGCAGGAGGAACGCGAAGAACGAGCGCGTTTTGCTGCACTACAACGGACATGGCGTCCCGAGACCGACGGCAAACGGAGAGATTTGGGTGTTCAACAAGTCTTACACGCAGTACATTCCCTTGTCTGTGTATGATTTACACTCTTGGACAGGGACGCCGGCGATTTACGTCTTCGACTGCTCCAACGCCGGGTTAATCGTTAAATCTTTCCTGAAACTATCCGATCCGGCGCAGCCGCAGCCGAAGGCGGGCGTAGATTTGGAACAACGTCAGAGTGGTGGTTCAATGGCGTTCGCTCAGCTGGAGCACGGCATGCGATCTGGCGTGCAAGACTCTGGTTTTGGGCCGAGCGCCACGGCAAACAGTGCAAACGAGTGCATTTTAATCGCCGCCTGCGGCGCGAATGAACTCTTGCCGCAGTCTTCGGAACTTCCCGCGGATATTTTCAGCGCGTGTTTAACAACGCCCGTGAAAATGGCCCTGCATTGGTTCTGTTCCAACTCAGTATTGCACGAACACGGGATAACCGTAGATATCATCGATAAAATTCCCGGAATGCAGAACAACCGCAAGACGCCACTCGGCGAGCTCAACTGGATCTTCACGGCGATCACCGACACCATAGCCTGGAACGTATTGCCACGGAAGTTGTTTCAGCGCCTGTTTCGGCAAGACTTGCTCGTCGCCTCGCTGTTCAGAAATTTTTTACTGGCCGAGCGCGTCATGCGAGCAAACAATTGCACGCCCATTTCATCTCCCAGGTTACCGCCCACACATCAGCATCCCATGTGGGCCGCTTGGGATATGGCGGTAGAGCAATGTCTGTTGCAAATGCCATCGCTGATCTCCGGCGATCCTGATGTTGAATTCGTCCCTTCGCCGTTCTTCACCGATCAGCTCACCGCATTCGAGGTTTGGTTAGAATACGGGAGTGAGCACGACTCTCCGCCAGAACAACTACCGATCGTTTTACAGGTGCTGTTATCCCAATCGCATCGTTTGAGAGCGTTGATTTTGCTCGGACGATTTTTAGATTTAGGGCTGTGGGCTGTCGAACTCGCGCTGTCGGTTGGTATCTTCCCGTACGTGCTGAAACTACTTCAAACAACGGCTCCAGAGCTGCGCCAGATTTTAGTTTTCATTTGGACCAAGATTCTCGCACTCGATCGATCGTGTCAAGCTGATTTGGTCAAGGACGATAGCTACAATTACTTCGTTCGTTTCTTACAGAGCTCAAGCGTACCAGTTGAAGAGCGCGCTATGGCGGCGTTCATCTTGGCTGTTATCTGTGATGGTCATGAGAAGGGACAAAGCGTGTGCCTTGCGAGCGGCTTGCTGAACATCTGTCTTTCCAATATTCACGATGCTGCACAACCCGAGACTGGTTCGCCGTTTTTCCTTCGATGGCTGTGCCTTTGTCTTGGAAAGTTATGGGAGGAGAATTTCGAGGCTCAAAAAGTTGCGTGCAGCGCCAAAGCCCACGAGCAGTTGATTCCGCTGTTCAGCCATTCTTCTCCTGACACCCGCGCGGCAGCCGTGTACGCGTGTGGAACGTTTATCTCGTTTGGATGCGTTCGTGAGAGTCATCAAGATGACGATATTGACAGGCAAGAATCTCACGAGCCGTTGATGCACGCCATGTCGTCACAGAACGTGCTCGGCACAAAGACCTCGGGTTCAGGAAGCGCAGACACGCCGAACACTGTAGGTCTATTCATTTCTCCTGGGGCAATCGCGAGCATGGAAATCACAATCGCGTACCAGTTGCTTCGAACTGCGGAAGACGCGAGTCCAATGGTCAGGATCGAAACAGCAGTCGCCCTTGCCCGTATAGCAACAGCGCACTCCATGATGATCCGCGAATCTTTGGTCGCATGGAAGCGCGACTACGACTCAGTCACGGCAAAGCGTGTCGTCGATGCGAAACGCAGCGAGGCAATGGGTGTGCGTCGTAGATTTTCCAGCGGAACTTCATTCAGCGGGATGGACCACTCTCTCGGTTCCAACATGTCCACTGTTGACGAGGATGATAACATGCCAATGAGCGTCGAAAGCGTCGCTCGCTCTGCAGATGAACAGTATGCCACGAGTGATAACACAATGCCTACTACCGCTGGTACGCTTCCACCTCCGTTTCCACGCTCGCATGACTCAGCTGACCCGGTCGAGTCTAGAACGCCCGAGGGAACCAAGGGAACTGTGTACACACTCATTCTTCAGGCCTTGCTCAATCTCGCGACGGATCCGGTTCCAGCGGTTGCCAAGGCTGGTTGCCATGCGTTACACGCAGCGGACATCGACCAGAGTCATCCCATCATGCAAATGGTTACGAAAGCTGGTAATTTTGCCGAGGTTGAACCTGTGGTCCGCAGGTTGTCTGCGTCACAGCGACGTCGACCTTCGTTCGCGAGTCTGGATTTCGGCACGCATCACGAGCGTTCCTTTTCAAAGGATGTTGGTGTAAGTCCAAACGGTGGAGGGTTGACACGTACGGACTCGTGGCATCAGCGCCTGGCTAACCTCGGCTCTTCCCTGGGCTCGCGGTTGCTAGGATCGCCGACCAAATCAAAGCCCGTGTCCAAACTGAGCGGCAATCGCTCTGAGCAACAGCTCAGCCCATCAACTGGGTCTGTGGGTCTGCGAACGTCGACAATTAGAGGGAAGGGGAGAAAATCTCAGGCGCTCGACAGTCCGGTTTCTAGTGCCGGCCATCTTCCAGCGTTGGTCATCCCAAGTACGCGCACAGAGCAGTTGCGTAATTCGCCGACAAGCCTTTCAACTCTGCGAAGAACGACGAGCAATCTGATCACAGATCACAGTGTTGAGCAGGATAGTTTAGGTCAGCAACGCATTTTTGGGTCGCATGCCTCGCTTGACTCACTAGATAGCACGCTTTCTCCTCGATTAAATCGATCGGAGGCGATGCATGGATACGCATCTGACGATGTCCACGACGCTCAGCTTCCGAAGAGCATCATTTACAAGCGCAGCTGCGGTCACTTTTCCACGCCTTTGCTAGAGACGGCGCAGGACGAAGACGACGATGATGACGATGAGATTGAAAGTAGCATCTCACCTTGGATGCGACCACCCGATATGAAGCGTCGCGCCGAGCGATTGAAGATGATACGTGAGAGGAGCAAGGAGACTTTGGGCGGTGGCGAACGGCGACTCAAAATGACCGAGTACGTGTCGAGCATCGATGTGGGCGGTGGCGTGACACCTACTTCGATTCTTATGCACCCGTTTGAACCGCACGCATTCACTGGCGACAGCACGGGGCGGGTGCACATCTGGAATCACAATTCATCGCGCATGGTGAATAAAATTGAAACCGGCATGAAGAGCGTGAACTTGCTATCGTTGGTGAACGAAACCGACGACGCACTCTTGCTGACGGGATGCGAAGACGGCACGGTGAAAATATGGCGTTCTTACGATTCGATTCAGAAAGAAACTCTCGTCACCGCATGGAATACCCTGCCTGCGCAACCGATTGTGTCCGAGAACGGTGAGATCAGGAGTGGATTGCCGCTGTCGTTTTACAAACCGTCGACGCACTACAAGGCGCACGAATCCACGCAAGCGGCGATTGTGTGGCAGCAGCTCACCGGGTGCTTATACGCTACTGGGAACGCGCCCAACCCGTTTCTTCGCGTGTGGGACGTATCAAGCGAGATCTGCCGCGATACTTTGAATCTCCAGGCTCAGGGCACTTGTCTCACCGCGGAGGGCGCCTTACTCATGGCTGGTACGCACGACGGCGCGGTGCTTTCGTACGACTTGAGAGCCCCAGCGCGTTTACTAAGCGCGATGCAAACGCATACCACGCCAGTTATATCGATCCTTTTGCAGCCTGGTGGCGTTAACAACCTTCTCGTGACTGGTTGCTCTGAAGGACAGCTCAAGTTTTGCGACTTGCGCAACGCGTCAAAGCCGTTTCTAATCACCGAGGTGTCGAAACAATCGACGACGTCGAACAACGGTCCAGCACTCACTGCGCTCGTTGGTCACTCGCATGCTCAAGTCATCGCATCTGGTTCATCTGAAAGAGCGATCAAGCTTTGGGATCTGCGCGGACATAACTTTGCCGCAATCCAGTACACGAATAGCTTCCTTGGTCAACGAATCGGCTCGGTTACAGCGCTCGCATTCCATCCGAACTCTGCGTACCTTGCCGCTGGATCTAACGCGGGTCACGCGACGATTTATGGTCCTCATTTCTGATCCGAATTGTACAATACATTTACAATATCAACTTCTCGAACGCTGAAACACCATTTCTTTGCGTGCGCAACTTGTCTAAGATGTTCTTCAACGAGGTGGAAAACATCTCGCTCATTTCGCTCGCCCGGGGCGCCACAGCATTGAAACCAGCGATGATGCGCGGATCCATCCTCGATCGAGACCCGTTGACGAGAAAATCTCTCAGGATTTCGAAAGCGTGGAGCAAGACATGCGTCTTCTTCAACGCTTCACTGACTGATGCGTCGCGATCGACGGCAAGAACGCTCACGAGTGTTGTCGTCAACTGGCAGATCAACGCCGATTTGTGTTTGAAATCCATGGCGCTCTGTGATTCAAAAGCGGCGTTTTGCTTCTCAAGGGCCTCCAAGCTCGAAGTCAAAACATTCACTGTATCTGAACATGCAGACATCAGATGTCCTTTTTTAGCACCTGCCGCGAGAGCCATCGCCGCGTGCAGGCGTATCTTGAAATTTCGCGCGTCCCTTATTAGAAGCAACAACATTCTCACGATGAAATCGATCCAGTGGCTTCCCACCTTCATAGCGGAGTCATTCTGTAGCAAAGACCCAACGCCGTGGCACGCGTTCCACTGCGTCTTTGCGTTACCCGTCGTGAGGCAGCTCGCCAAACTCTGCGCCGCCTCGTGCAGCCAATCATTCGACGTGTCGAAGACCGTTGCACTGATTAGATGTCCAATTCCTCTTGTGGCGTTCGCGCGCACCTTGTCGCCTTGTTCCATCGCGCTTATGATTAACACTCTCGCCAGCGCTGTGACGGTTTCGTCATTCAAGCGTTGCGGACGTGAAGCATTGACGGAGCAAAGATTCGCTATCGACCAAATGGCTGGAATTTTTACGGATTTAGAGTTGTCTTGCGCGGCGATGAGCAGCGACGAGGCCACGTGTTCGAGTTCCGCGTTCGGCAAGTTAATGATGAAACCGAGCGCTCTACACGCCGCGGCGCGCACGGCAGGCACCGCTTCCTCACCGGATTTTAGCACCGCGTGCGGCATCTTTAACAGTGAATCGAGCACGCCATCATCAGATTTGAAACAATCAACGACGTTCGCGTTCACCCGAGTGAGCGCCGTGAGACCAGCGACGCGCGTGAGGGCAGATTTGTGTGCAGCGCACGCCGGCAATTGCACTTTGACCGCATCTTCCCAAGTAGCGCACAGATCCTCGATCGATAATGAAGACGGGTTGAAAGGAACATTGTCGACATCACTGTCATCATCATCGCGAACTACCCCGCTTCCACTCACGGCGCCAAGAAAATCGGTGAATAGTCGTGCGGAGGCTTGACACACTCGATCATCCGCCTCCGATGCGCACACCTCATCTGGGAACAAGTAGCGCAATCGACCTCTCATCTTCGTCATTGCGACGACGTGATGCACAACGAACGCGCGTAAAACTCCGAACGCTTCGCATCGAGAGCCTACGGCGTCACCCTTAGCGTGAGAGATAATGGTTGCGATTACTGACGTCTCATCCTCTGTCAGCAGTTCATCCATGACTCCGCTCGCCCCTCTCGCGGAAAGCGCAGAGATTAGGGCGCCGAACAGAGCTCCTTGGGCCAGCGCTCGCTCACTCGGTGTCTCCTTCACTGACTTTTTTATCCGTTCGTGAATGACATTGATCGTCTCCGTGAGCAACGCGCGCGGTAGTCGGTCAAACGGCGCAGCCGAACAAAGCGCTGAAATAGCCTTGCACTGTTCTCGCACGCACGTCGCATCCTCCTCGCTCGACAAAGCGCGTAGGAGCGCTCGCTGCGTCGTCACTACCATACTTCCTAAGGTCGTACTGAGCGCCGAAAACGACCGAACACGGGCGCTCAGAGGCGACGCACCGGCGCCAGCGTTCGGCTCTTCGCACTCCGCCATGGCCACGTATTGCTTACTCGCCGCACCCTCGAATAAAGCCGCCGTCGCGTTCGCCGCCGCCGCGCGAACTTTTGCGTTGCAATCACACGACAAGATCTTCACCACGCTCGTCCACGCGCTCGCCCGCTCGAGCTGATGCTGTGACGTCGGCAGCAACATCGCCCAAGCGCCTCGCGTCGCCTTCCCGTCGCTCCTAGCCAACGCCGCGATCGCCCCCAGCGCCGCCACGCGCGCGTCCTCGTCCTCTAATTCATTTTTATGATCGGAAATATCCCCCTCACGCGCGTGCGGCGGCTTATACGACGTTCCGTCGTCCTCCGCCTCGCCGCCGACGCTTCGTTCGCGCGCGCGTCCCGCCGCCGCGCGCGTCAACACCCCGCACGCCGCCGCCGCCTCGCTCGCGCGCCACGCCTCCCCACGCCCCGTCCACGCGCACACCGCGCTCGCGTACGCCCGAATCACCCCCGACGCGCGCGCTCGATCGCCCGCCCGCGTCCTCGCGTCCGCGCCGTCCGCGCCGTCCCGCGCCAATCGTCCCGCGCACCGCCCCAACGCCTCCGCGCACGCCCGAGCCCGACCCGGGGCATCACTCGCGGTCGCCATCGTCGCTAAATCCCGCGTCACCGCCGCCGCGCCCGAGACGTCGCGTCCACCGTCGTCGACCGCGCACCACTCATCATCATCATCGTCCTCGACGACCGCGCGCGCCCCACCGCGCGTCGAAGCGCCCGAGACGTCGACCGACCCGCAGCGCGCGATCGCGGCGTCGACGTCGGCGTCGGCGTCGCGCGCGGCGTTCATGGCCGACGCGCGCGCGCGCGTGTCGTCGCGACGAAACGCGTTGACGCCTTCGCGCGCGGCCGTGTGTCGTATTGCACACCATTTTCGCCCATCATTCGCCCTTCGTGGACGCACGCGACGCGGTTGGATTGATCTTTCATCGAGTACACTATGTGCACACGTCGCATATATAGGTTCGTGTGTGCGCTGTGAAGGATGTGATGTGTCGAAAATGTGTCCGTCGCGCGGCGTGTGTGTGGATATTAGTGAAAATGTGTGTACAGTACGCAATCGGCGATCCCACCGCAGATCGCGACGCGCGACGACGACGACGACGATGGCGTCGACCGAGGCCGCGGCGCGCGCGCCCGCGCGAGACGCGTCGGTGGATCTGGAGTGTGACGATGAGTTCGAGGAGTTCGAGGCGCGCGAGTGGGAGGACCGCGCGGGGGCGGGACGAGGGGAAGGGAACGGGCGGCAGTGGGAGGAGGATTGGGACGACGCGGACGCGAAGGATGATTTCAGCGCGCAGTTGCGCGCGGAGCTCGAGCGGAAGTGAGGGAGGGATGGTGATGTCGTTCGCGCGCGAGACGCGGGACGTCGCGCGTCTTGGGTGTAATTTTGAGTGAAGATGAATTCGTTGACCGAGCGACGCGCGCGCGTTTCCTCTAGGCGATCGGCGACGCGCACGCGTGATCTAAGACGAAGGGGGGGAAGAAGCCGGCCAACACGGCGAGGGGGATGTCGTGGACGACGGCGAAGCGCTTGGACCAGGCGACGGCGGCGCGGACGCCGGGGGTGAAGACGTCGGCGGAGGACGGCGACGCCAGGCGCGCGCGGACGTACGCGCCCATGTGGGAGAGATAGCTCGTCGTTTGGTCGGCGTGGTGCTGCCTCAGAGCCGTGCTTACGCCGACGATGAGGACGTAGGCGTCGACTCGGGCGGTGACGGGCACGAGCGACGCCAAGGGAGCATCGAATCGGTACAGCTCTAGCTGCGCCGCCGTGAAGGCGAAAATGAACGCGCCAAAGTCCTCCACGGCGCCGACGGCGCAGTAGATTTGTCTCGAAGGATTTTGCATCCCGCTCGCCGCGAGATATGCGCTGAGCTTTGGGATCACGACGTTGGACTCGTCCGGATACGGCGCCTCGTCCGGCGACTTGTAGTGCGCTCGCACGTCGGTCAAAATCGCTCGATTCGCCGTGTCCAAAACTCTGCTCAGTGTGTGCGAATCGATACGAACGTTCGCCACGAGCTCGGCGTTGAGCTGCATTCGGAGCACCTGCGCTTGGCCGATGAACGACAGCGCGGCGATGAAATCGTCCCACGAAGAGACTGAGGCCTTGATCATTTCGTCGTACGCCGCGAGCGCGCCAGAGGGAACCGAGCCAATCGGCTGCAGCGCACCATTCATGGCGCGAACGATCGAACCGAGCTCGCCAGCGAGTTGATCTCCGCACGTTTCGAGACAAAGTTGCAGGCGTTGCTTCACCATGAAGCTCAGAATGCGATCCAAACCGTTTAAACCGACGTTTCCGACAGCTGATGTCAAGAGGGAAAACGTCTGGATGCCGACGATTTCTTTTCCCTCAACGCTGAACCACGCGCTATGAGGAGCAATGTATCGCGTCGTGGTCGGGTCTGTTTGTCGTAGAATCTCACGTAAAAGTCGACCCATGAACGTCTTCGATTCCGCGTCCAACGGCGGATGGTCCGGGATGGGAATCGCCACGGATTGGAATTCGCTCTCCCCTTCGGCGACGTGCTTGCGCTTGAGGAAACCGTTGCACTCTTGCTCGACGTGGTAACTCACCACGCGATTTGTTTCCTCTTGCCACATCTGTAAGCCGTAAATGTTGACGTAATCTTGAATGTATTCGAAAGATCTCCGGAAGCCTTCCAATTTTTTTGCCAACAAGTTGAGACGATCCTGAAATGGATTTGACTTCATCATCGCTGCCACAAAATTGTTCCATCCAAGCCCGTCTACGCCCTCGCCGAAGACGAGCGTGGTGTGAAACGTCTCTGTGATCTGCTTCACAAGTTGCTTTCGAATTCCATCCTCAAGTAGCTTCTTTGGATTGAGCTCGATGACTCCCATGAAGGTGCTGTCCATCGCCAAGATGCCCTGCGCAAAAATGGCGATTTCGTACGTCGCCTTGGAGAGTTTCGAGCGCTCGACGAGCTGTGCGTAGTTTTTTAGCTCTGCCTTTGCCAACTTGGTCGGTAACTCTTTCAGCGCATCCGTTTGCACGCCGACGATTTCGTTCAGGATCTCAAACATGCTCACAGGCACCACCTCGATGACGTTGCGCACGTAACTCACCAATTGAGACGAGTAGTATTCACTTACGCTGTAGATATCTGGCGACTCTATCTGCGAGATGCGCAAAAGTGGCATCTCCAAGATGCTCTTCAATTTGATGAACAAAAATCTCAGTTTTTGGACGGCGAACGGGTCCCTGCGAACGCGTTGCTGCAATTGCTCTGTGTACGAATCGATTAATCCCCACGCGTACGCGCCGTCGGATACGATCGTGAGCGTGTTCAGCGCCGAATCGGCGACGTTTGTGGTCATCATCATCTTTCCGAGGTACCGTCTCGAATCGAGCAAGTATTGCTTTGCGTGAATGTTGTCGATGATTTGATGAAAGTGCTCCACCTCGGTGAGCGCGGCGTCGAGCTCTTGAATCGTTCGTCCGGCCGCCACTGGATCGTCGTACGACAAGCGATCGACCTCGACGGAGAGATTGGCGAACCACAGTCGCAGATTATCGTCTTTTTTGTTCCTACTGAGTCCCGCCGTGCCGCCGAAATACGCGCTGAGCTCCCTCATGCGATCGCCCGCCTCTCGCTTGCACTCTTCCCACAGCTCGTTCTTCGTGCTCAAAAGCGAGGTGTAAATCGTCTTCAGCGCGTTCTCCAACTCGGCGCAATCCAGTAATAAATCGACTATCTTCTCTTTACTCGGCATCTGTGCGAGCGACACCGAGGCGTGCGGCGTGGAATTCTGTAACAACAGGAACCGAGCGACGACATTGGCGTCCCGCACAACATTCATCAAAACTCTCTCATTCTCCAACACGAATTCCTCAGTGAGAACACCCTCTGTGAGATACGTGTTAAACGCCATCTTCAAATCATCCACACTCGTCGACGCGTTCTCAATGAGCTCCTTCGCCGCTCTCGGCGTCACCGCGTTACGCATCGCCGTCGCGGCGGCTTCGTAAGGCTGCCACTCGGCTAATAAATTTACAGTCATCCCAGGAACGCACGTCACCACCCAATTATCGGCGTAGTGCCGATCGACGATTTCACGCATCGCCGAGGTCCCTCTGACCAAGATGCTCGGCGCCCAGTACAAGATGACGTACAGTAACCCGCCCTGCGCCGCGAGCGCGGTGGAGCGATGATCGGGATTCGGGTAGTGCGGCGCGTGATTGTACACGTCATCCGTGCGCAATCGCCCGATCACCATCGTGATGAGCCACTCCGGGAACTCACATCGGGCGAAGTACGTCTCCGGGTACCCGGTCGGTCGCGACCCCGGACGCGAGGCGTCGAATCCCGTCCGCGCGCACAGCGCGACGATTTCGTTCGCGTTCGCCTCGTCCTCAATCATCCGACCTTTGTGTCGATAATACGCCACGACCGCGCGCTCCCTGAACCTCCAATCCATCTTCTCATCTAAAATCTTCAAAATCACCCCGTACAGCGCGATCGCCTCCGCCACGTACTGCCTCCCGTCCTCGTCGGCTAGAATCTTCTCCCACGTATCGCGCACGTACGTCCCGTCTCGCACGTCCTCGGCGAATCTCGTAAAATCCTGATGCCACCGCACCACGGCATCGAACGCGCACCAATACCTCGTCAACACCGTCCCGTACACCGCCTCCACCTCATCGTCGAGTTCGCTCAATCGCGCGTCGTCGTCCACTCGCGCGTCCAGCGCGTCTCGATTCTCAAAATAATCGTAATCGAACAAAACCGACGCGTGTCTCGCGTCTCCCGCCCCCCGCAACCCCCTCGGGACGCTTCTCGCGAGTCTCGACACCTCAGCGATCAGCGCCTGCGCTCGCGCGACGAACGCGCACGCCTGACGCGTCGCGCTCCAACGAGAATCATCGCGTCGATTCTTCCCACCCAATCCCACCGCGTCCCCTCCGTCGTCCCCGTCCGCGCCCGCGCCCGCCGCCGACGCCGACGACGCGTCGGACGACGACGTCGACGCGTCGTCCGAGTCGTCGTCGGCCCCTCGCATCCCGCGCGCGCGTCGCGACGTGCGGGCGCTCGCGCACCGATCATCATCCTCCGACACCGCGACGACGCCGACGCCGTCCAATCGCGCGCCCCCCCCCCGCGCGCGTCATTTTTTCATCCCTCGATCGCCCCTCTCCCGACGCCCGCGCGCGCGTCGCCGCCGTCGTCCCGCGCGGTCGTCGATCGCGCGCGAGGCGAAACGTCAGCCATCGTCGATCGACGCCCCCGCGCCCGGCGCGCGCCGCCGTCGACGCGCGCCGCCGTGGACGCGCGCGACGTGTATTTTCACCCATCGATTCCCGCGCGCGTTCGCCGCCGTCGCTCGTCGGCGGCGTCGGCGGCGGCCGTCGTCGGCGTCGGCGGCGCGCGAATCGTCGGTCGCGGCGGTCGCTCGTATGTCACCACATTTAACGCCATGTATTGACCACGCGTCGTGGTCAACGCGCGCGCGACGACGTCGACGCGCCCCACACGTCCACGCGCGTCGAGCGACCGCGCGCGACGCACGCGAACGCGCGCGTCGATCGCGATCGCGTCTCCGCGTCGTCGACCACGGGCGCGGACGACGAACGCGAAGGAATCGACCGCGGCGAGGATCGATCGCGATCGACCGCGACGGGATCTCGAGCGACGGTGACGACGGTGACGCGGCGCGCATGGCGGTGACGCGCGCGATGGACGCCCCGGCGTTGGCGGGAGAGCGGTACGTGGAGAATAAGCTGAAGCACGACGTGCGGGTGTCGAACATGACGGCGGCGAAGCGATTGGCGGATGCGATTCGAACCTCGCTCGGACCGCGAGGGATGGACAAGATGATGGTGAACGGCGCGGGTGACGTGACGATTTCGAACGATGGAGCGACGATATTGAAGACGATGGATGTGACGCATCCGGCGGCGAAGATGTTGGTGGAGCTGAGTAAGTCGCAGGATGTCGTCGCGGGGGACGGGACGACGTCGGTGGCGGTTTTGTGCGGAGCGCTGTTGGACAAGTGCATCGGATTGTTGGGGAGAGGGGTGCATCCGACGGCGATCTCGGACGCGATGGCGACGGCGTGTGACAAGGCGTGCGAGATTTTGGAGGGGATGAGCGATCCGGTGGATCTGAGCGAGCGAGAAAGTTTGATTCAGGCGGCGACGACGAGTCTGGGGTCAAAGGTCGTGGCGCAGTACTCCAGCCTGTTGAGTCCGATCGCGGTGGACTGCGTGCTCAGCGTGCTCGATCCGGAGCGTCCGAACATGGTGGACTTGCGAGACGTGAAGATCGTGAAAAAGGTCGGGGGGACGATGGACGACACCGAGCTCGTGAAAGGCATCGTGTTTGACCAAAAGCCGAGCAAAGCGGCGGGCGGACCGACAAAGGTGGAGGATGCGAAGATCGGTTTGATTCAGTTTTGCATCTCCCCGCCCAAGACGGATCTCGAGAATAACGTCATCGTGAGCGATTACACGCAGATGGATAAGATTTTGCGCGAGGAACGCAACCACATCATCGGCATCATCAAGAAGGTCAAGGCGAGCGGGTGCAACGTCCTCTTGGTGCAAAAGTCAATCTTGCGAGACGCCGTCACGGACCTGGCGCTGCATTACCTGGCCAAGGCGAAGATTTTAGTCATTCGCGACATCGAGCGCGAAGAAATCGAATTCATCAGCAAGACATTACACTGTCAGCCGGTGGCGCACGTCGATCACATGACTCCGGACAAGCTCGGCCGCGCCGCGCTCGTGGCGGAGAAGCAGTGCGGCAACGGAAAGGTGGTGCAGGTGACCGGTATCGAGAACATGGGCCGAACTGTCTCCGTCATCGTTCGCGGGAGCAACCAACTTGTCGTCGAGGAAGCGGATCGCTCATTACATGACGCCCTTTGCGTCATCAGATGCTTGGTACAGAAGCGGTTTTTGATCGTCGGCGGCGGCGCGCCCGAGGTTGAGGTCTCCCAAAAGCTCGGCCACTGGGCTCGAACGCTCAGTGGAATGGATGCGATCGCCGTAAAAGCGTTTTCGGAAGCTTTGGAGGTGATTCCGTACACGTTGGCCGAAAATGCCGGCTTAAACCCGATCGAAATCGTCACCGAACTGCGCAACGCGCACTCAGCCGGGAACACACACCACGGCATCAACGTGCGCAAGGGTACGATTTCCAACATGAAGGACGAGAACGTGCTCCAGCCGCTCTTGGTGTCAACGAGTGCGTTGTCTTTGGCGACGGAGTGCGTGCGAATGATTCTTAAGATAGACGACATCGTGCCCAGCTTGAGGTGAGGTTGGCGGATCGAGTCGAGTAGATGACCTCTTCAGGGCGTCGCGCATAGGGATTTTTAACAGCAGAAAAGTACGCAGAGACGAAGACGACGCGTTTTATCACGAATTGTGAAATTTATTGCACGCTAATGCAAGCTAAAAAATAACCAATCTCTACAGGGTTCCTCAGCGCTTACGCGACCACGATTTGGCCATCCTTGTGCGTGGAGGCCGCGACGTCCGCGGTCACGTCGGTCGGGTTTTGCGCGGCGTGCGGGTGGTCTGAGCCCGCGTACACCTTTAAGTGCGTGAAAGTTTCCCGTCCCAATCGGTTCTTCGGCAACATCCCCCGAATCGCCTTTTCGACCACGCGAGCCGGTTGGCGCGCAAACAGGCTCTCGTACGTCTCCTCCTTCATCGAACCCGGCTTACCTCTTACGCCGAGCTTGTAGTACATCTTCTGCTGCGCCTTTTGGCCCGTGACTTCAACCTTATCGGCGTTGATAACGATAACGTTAACGCCCATGTTGAACGCCGGGGTGTACGAGCCGGAGTTACCCCCGCGCAAGTACTTCGCCGCCGCGGTGCTCATGCGACCGAGGCGCATGCCCGCGGCGTCGATCACCACCCACGGCTTACGCGACATGTCAACGTCCTCGCCCTTGGGGTAGTACGTCGTGTTGAACACATCTCTTCCGAGCTTTTCGGCGGAGACGCCGTCCGGGAGCTTCACGCTGTGACCGCGCGCGACGGTGGACGCGCGCTTGGCGGCCGGAACTGCGATTGGCGATAAAACACAATGAAAACCTCGTCAGTCGTCCGTTCACGTCCATCGAGGACTCTACACACGTCGCATAAATATTTTCACATCCATCGGCACCACTCACGCCCTCGACGAACGTCACTAAGCACCGTGCCGCGCCATCATTCGCCCCCTTCCGCGAATGCCTAAAGCCCTACATCCCTCGAAAACGCGAATCTCCCCTCGCGCGGCCTCCATGGACGTCGCTCGCGTCCCACCGTGCGCACGAATCGAGCGCGTGACATCACGTACCTTGACGCTTCTGCGCCACGACGGCGCGCGCGCTCGCTTGGTTCGCTTGGACGGCGAACATGACGACTCGGAGTGACGTCGCGTTCGGGGTTTCGGGATGGGAGGGGTGTCTCGTAGTTAAGTGAATTACATGGGCCGCGCGCGTCGCGGCGGAACGAGAGGGCTTGGTTGTAGGTACATGACGGCGATTGAGATCATCCGCGAGCGATCGAGGCGTTGTCATCGACGTTCTGCGAGCGCCTGCGAGCGACCTCGAGGTGGACGAGGAGTGAACTGACGTCGGCGGGGGTGACGCCGCCGACGCGGGACGCCTGACCGACGGTGGCCGGGCGGATGCGCGCGAGCTTCTCTCGTGCCTCCTTGCGAAGGGTGGTAATGGCGGCGTAATCGATGTCATCGGGGATGATTTTGCCGAATTTACTCGTTTCACGCTCGACCTGGACCTCCTGACGCTTGATGAAACCGGAGTACTTGACGCGGATCTCCACCGCCTCGGCTTCCCAGCGCGTGAGCGGGCTCTCAGGGTTTCCTTGACCGTGCTCCTCAAGCAAAGAATAGGGGACCTGCGGTCGGCGTAAGAGCTCCTCCAAGGTATAGCTTTGACGCGAACCCGAGCCGGAGAGGTCGAGCACGCGTTGCGTGAAGTCATCCTTCACGTTTACGCGGACGCTTTGGAGTCGAGCGATTTCGTTATCCACGGCATCTCGCTTCTTCTCAAACTTGGCCCAGCGCGCGTCGGAAATCAACCCGAACTCTCGGCCGAGAGGGGTCAAACGCATGTCTGCGTTGTCTGAGCGTAAGACCAAGCGGTACTCGCTTCGCGAGGTCAACATACGGTAGGGCTCGCGCAAGTCCTTGGTGCACAAATCGTCAATGAGGGTGCCGAGGTATGAGCTCTCACGCGGAAAAATGAGCTCCTTCGCACCGTTTCTCGCTCCACCCTTCGCGATTTGGGCCGCATTTGCACCCGCGAGTAAGCCCTGCGCCGCAGCTTCCTCGTATCCCGTCGTGCCGTTGATTTGACCTGAAAAGAATAACCCAGAGATTTTCTTTGTCTCGAGCGTTGGCTTGCACTGATACGCGGGTAAAAAATCGTACTCAACCGCGTAGGCGGGACGAAGGATCTTTACGTTTTCCAGCCCCGGTAGCGTGCGCAGAAGCTCGAGCTGTAATTTCTCGGGTAGACCGGTGCTGAAACCTTGCACGTAGACCTCGGGCGTGGAGCGACCCTCGGGCTCGAGGAAAATTTGGTGACTCTCCTTGTCGGCAAAGCGCACAATTTTATCCTCGATTGACGGGCAATACCTCGGCCCTTCGCGCCCGCCCACCCACCGTACGTCGGCGTTTCCAATAGATTCTCTTCTATCAGTTTGTGCGTCGCCGCCGTTGTTCGCGTCATGTGGCAGCACAATTGCTCTCGCACCACGTGCGCGTCCTCGTCAAAGGAGAACCATCGCACGTCCTCGTCCCCCGGTTGTTCCTCCAAATTCGTGTAATCTATCGTTCGCGTATCCACTCTCGCGGGCGTTCCGGTCTTTAATCGATCGACCTCGAATCCAAGGGTTTGTAAATACTCAGTCAAGCCCTCGCTCGGGGCCTCGCCCGCGCGTCCCGCCGCGAGCGTCTTGCGTCCCACCCAAATTTGCCCATTCATAAACGTCCCTGTCGTCAGCACCACCGCCTTGGCCTCGAACTCCATCCCGAAGTGCGTCACCACCCCTCGCACGTCATCGTTATTCCCTAGCAGGAGTTCGGTCACCATCCCCTCCCGAATGCTCAAATTTTCCTCCTTTTCCAGCGTCGCTCGCATCTCTCGCGAGTACTCGTATTTATCCGTCTGCGCCCGCAGCGCCCACACCGCCGGCCCACGACTGGCGTTCAGAACCCGCTTCTGCACGTACGTCTTATCGCTAATGATCCCCATCGCCCCCCCCAGGGCGTCTATCTCGTGCACCAGTTGCGATTTCGCCGGTCCCCCCACCGCCGGGTTACACGGTTGCCACGCCACGCGGTCCAGCGACAGCGTCAGGAGCAGCGTCTTCGCCCCCACGCGCGCGCTCGCGAGCGCGGCCTCGCACCCGGCGTGCCCGGCACCGACGACGATGACGTCGTACGACTCCTCCGCGGACGCCGACGACGCTCGAGCGCGCGCACGTCTCCGCGGAGACGCGTCGAGGGCGCGGCGGCTGGGGCGTTGGCGTCGAGATGGTTTCGTCGACGTCGACGCGTGCACGGCGGTCCCGCGCGCGTGGGCGCGAGCGAGCGCGGACGGCGTGGACATGACGGACGTGTCGCGACGCGCGCGGGGCGACGCGGACGCGCGCGCGCGGATGAGTGGCGGGTGAACGCGCGCCGCGGGGCGGGCGAGCGCGGCGGAGAGACGCGGCGAGAGACGCGCTCGCGAGGACGCGCGAGCGACGAGACGCCGGATGACGCGCGACGGGATGAAACGCAAAACGGTGTGATAAAACGTGCGCGACCGCGCGTCGCGAACTATGGAGACGACGGTCGAGGCGTCTCCCGCGCGCCCGGGCGTCTCGCGTCGACGACGCGCCTAGCGCGCCTTTTGAGCCTTTTGCTTTTGCTCAGCCTCATTCGACTTCTGCACGCCGGCGAAATCGATGTACTTGCCGTTGCAGTACGCGTCCGTCTTGTACCACTTGTGGCCGAACTTCCCACCGTGCTCCATCGGCTCGCCGTTGCGCTTAAACTTGCGCAAGTTGCTCGCGTTCGCCGAGGTCAGGTTCACCACCATCTGCACCGGGTTCAGCGTGCCCGTGATGAAGGGCAAAAGCAGCGCGACGATCGCGCCCGTACCGACGACGATAATCCCACCGCCCACCGCGACCGCACCGGCGTACTCCGGGCCGAAGAGATCGCCCGCGAGCGCCGGGGTCGCGCTCAGCGCGAGCGCCGCCGACGCCGCCGACGCCGCGAACTGCCTCGACGTCTCCACCGGTCTCGCCACCGCCTGCGCGCGCGCGACGCACGGATCACATGCGTCAGTCTCGTTCGCCTCGACGCGTCGTACGCCCCACGCGCGCGTCGTACGGCCCCCGCGCGCACCGCGATCGCGCGATCGTCCATCCGCGGTCGTCGTCCACGCCGCGCGACGCACCTCGACGACGACGCGACGCGCCGACCGTCGCGGCGTCGTCGCCCGACGCGCGCGCGCGATCGAGCACGGGACGCGGGCGTGGGCGAGGGCGACCATCGGTCGGGGGTCGTTTTGTGACGACCGCGATCGCGGTGGATCACGTTTCTCGTATTCGACGTCGTCGTCGCCCATGTGTGTGACATCGATCGACGACCCCGACCGTGGATGGGGTGCGGTGCGTATTGTGGGCACACGACGCCCATGTGCGGCACACAGCGACGATCGATGATGGCGCATCGCGGCGCCGTCGACGCGCGCGCGTTGCCGCGCGCGACGCGCGCGCGCGGACGCGGCGACGATGGACGGTGTCGCGTCGTCGCGCGCGCGGGGGCGTCGCGCGCGGCGGCGTTGCTCGCGGAGGGACGGGCGATGTACGAGCGAGGCGATCGCATGGGTGGGTACAAGACGTTCGAGCGCGCGCTCGAGGGGGATACGATGTCGATCGAGACGCGAGGGGAGTTGAATTACTGCGCCATGTGCTGCGTCGCCGCGTTCGGGGACGTGGAGGCGGCGAAGATGTACTTGCGGGAGATGGAGGGATGCGGGTTGGCGTTCGAGGACGCGACGAGCGACCCGTCGAGGATGAAGATGGAGTCCTCGGCGCTGATGCGGAATCAGTTGAAGAAATTTGCGGCGGGGGAGGGACGGTCGATTGGAGCGGTGCGAAGGGAGCAGTTTGAGCGGGAGCGGGCGAACGAGGGGGCGGGGACGCGGTCGACGATTAGCGGACTGCGCGACCTGGACGTGAGCTCGGACACGGATGAGAGCGTGGAGGCGATCGTGAAGCGGGTGGGGATACTCATCGCGCTCTCCGTCGTCGGTTTCGCCGCGCTGTTCAACGCGGGTATGGGGATCATGCAGCCGGGGAGCTTGCCATTCGAGGAGATTTACTAGGCGGCCGTAGGCGACTCTCGAGTTTTTGTAGTTGAAAATGTGTTTTACACGGATTTGATAAAGAATTAATTAAGCGCGCTGCGTCCTAGAGAAAGCGTTAGAATTTCAAGGCCTGTGCGTGTTCGGCGGCGCATCGTCGACGAAGTACTCCTGCAAGACCTGATTTCTAGAGGGTTGCTTGAGCTTGCGAAGCGCCTTTGCCTCAATTTGGCGAATGCGCTCGCGAGTCACAGAGAAAACCGTACCAATCTCTTCCAGAGTCTTCACTCGACCGTCGTCCAAGCCATAACGAAGGCGCAACACGTCGCGCTCGCGCGGGTTGAGCGTGTTCAGGACGTTCTCCAAGTCCTCCTTGAGGAGCGACTTGCCGCTGACCTTTTCCGGGCCCTCGGCGTTGGCGTCAATGAGCGTGTCCTCGATGGTTCGGCCCTTGTTTTCACCACCCATGGTCTGCGCGAGAGACACCGGCGCTTGAGCAGCCTTTTTGATTTGAGTGATCTTCTCGACAGACATTTCCATCTCCGACGCGATTTCCTCCAGGGTTGGAGGGCGGCCGTTGTACAGGGCAAACTTTTGCTCCATTTTGGAAATTCTGCTGATGATCTCGAACAAGTGCACGGGCAATCGAATTGTGCGACTTTGATCACTGATCGATCGCGTCACCGCCTGGCGAATCCACCAGTGAGCGTACGTGCTAAACTTGTAACCCCGCTGGAAATCAAACTTTTCAGCGCCGCGAATCAAACCGACGCACCCCTCTTGGATCAAGTCTTGGAAGCTCATGTTGGTGTTGGCGTACTTCTTCGCGATAGAGACCACCAAACGTAAGTTCGCCTGAATCATCTCGTTCTTGGCCGCCTTGCCATCGTGCAAGCGCTGACGAAGAGCCGACACGTTCAACCCGGCCGCCGCGGCCCACTGAGATTCGGAGAGCTCAACGCCGGGTCCGGTCTCCTCGATGAGATTCTCGCGAATGCTCTCGAGATGCATGAGATCTTGAATGCGCTTCGCCAGTTCAACTTCTTGACCCGCGTTCAAGAGCGTGACGGAACCGATGTCCTTGAGATAGGAGCGCATGGAGTCCGTCGACGGGCGCTTGTTCCCAATGCGCATCGCCGACTGCTTTTGCACCTTTCGCGGCTCGAGGTTGACCCCGCGCACGCGTTCCTTGGTCTGTGCCTGAACCATTTGAGACACCGACGTCTTAGTCGGTCGGCTTCGCACGCCGCGCGCGACGGCGCGAGCGCGCGCGCTTCGCGCCGCCAAACCCGTGGTGACGACACCCGACTCAACCTCAACCTTATCCTCTGGCGACGCCAAGCTCGAGGACGCTCGCGCGCTCGCCTTGGAGCGCGTGGTGCCTTGTTGAGACGTCGTCTTGCGAGTCGTCTTCTTGGGTGTTAACTTTTCGCGCTCGGGAATGTCCACGCTCGCGTTGGCCTCGTCGTCGTCCATGAGTGACTTTTCCAACATGGCCAACTCCTCCAGTGTCGGCGTCACCGCCGACGCGTCGGTGGCTCGCGTCGTCTCATCCACCGCCAAGAGCAATTTTGCCATCTGCGCCTCCATCGCGCTCAAGTCATTCACGTCGAACGCGACGTCTCCGTCCTCGTCGTCCGCGCTCGCGTCGACGTCTCTCGCCGAGTCCATGATGGCGCGCGGCTTCACCTTATCCGCCCGCATCGCTCGCGCCTCGACCTCATCGCTCTCCTGCGTCAAGATCTTTTTCCAATCGCTCGACCCAGCGCTCGAGGACCCGAGTTTATCCTTGTTATACGCCTCGGCGCGCGCGACGTCGCCACGTTTTCCTCCGTGCCACTGCACTAGGGATGGGCTCGTCCTGGACGTGAATTCCCCCTTGTTCGACCCGCTCGCGCGCGCGGCGACGTTCGTCCGGCGCCCGTTCGCGGTGACCGCGGACGGTCGAATAACCCTCGACCCGCTCGCATCTTCCCCGCTCGACACCCGCGACGACTGCGCGTGCACCAGCCCCGGCGACGTCGGTCGCGACAACATCGCCCCCGCGCGCCGCGATCGATTCAAACGCGCGAATCCCCCCCCCGCGCGACCTCTCTCTCCCCCGCGCGCGCGCGACCGACGCGCCCCGTTCGAGGCTTTAACGTACCCCACGCGCGAGGCCCGAGCGCGCGCGCGTGACGCGCACCGCCGTCGCGTCGGCGTGTGCGCCCCGCGCGCCTCGACGCGACGACGGATTCGACGTCGATCGCGCAAGCCCTAATTCGCAATCACACCCGCCACGTCACCACCGGTTGTGACACCCGTGATCGGTCACGACGCGTCGTGAATACGGATTTCACCGACCGAATCCCACGCGCGCGCGACGGGGGATCGGCGAGAAATCACCCTCGGCACCGATCGGTGCCGACGACGAGATCGATCGATCGATCGATCGACGCCGCGTCGAGACGCCACCGATCGCTCGATCGATCGATCGATCGATCGATCGATCGTCGAGACGCCATCGATCGATCGACGTCTCGAGCGCGATCGACGCCCCGGGTGGATCGGATCACCGTGACGAGTGCGCACTCGTGAATGACCCCCCCCATGGGGCTCGACGCGCGCGCACCGCGAAAAAGCGTCGAGGGCGTCGTCGCCGCGCGCGATTCCCGCGTCCATCGGTCGGTGGACGTCCCGACGGCGTTCGCGGTCGACGCCCGGGCGTCGCGCGCGTGGACGTGCGGGTGACGACGACGGTGCCGAGCGATGCCGCGCGACGGCGGTGGGGCGACGACGCGCGCGCGCGCGCGTGAAGCCGGTGGACGTGGGACGCGAAACGGCGGTGCGGGCGACGGCGGTGCGGGCGAACGCGACGACGGAAGGGCGCGCGCGATGGGTGTGGACGATGCGGTGGGGTCGACGCGCGCGCGGATGGTTGAGTTACCGCGAGACGTCGTGATCGAGATCGTGGCGCGGTTGGGGAGCGAGCGGGACGTCGCGGCGTGCGCGCGCGCGTGCGCGGCGTTCCGAAACGCGAGCAGGTCGGAGAGCGTGTGGAGGAATCTGTTGGCGAGTAAGCTCGGGAGGGAATCGAGGGTGATGCTTCCGATGCGGTTGGAGTCGGAGGTTGAGGAAGGGCGATCGGGAGGGCGGCGGGAGGGGGCGTGGACGAGGACGAGGACGACGACGAGCGCCGAGGCGACGCCGCCGACGGCGCGGTGGATGCTCAAGTATAAGCGCTGGCATCGTCCCGAGAGCGGCGTGCTTCGATGGGGGAAGACCACGGCGGATTCGAGCCTGGAACCGACGGAAACGAAGTACGCGGCGCGGTATTTACATCGATGCACCGCCGTGGGAGATCGCTCAAAAATCTTACTTTTTGGCGGGCAAGGCGGCGGGAGCGACTTTTTCAACGACTTGCATCTTCTCGATCTCGATGAGGCCGAACTTGGGCTGAAACAGCTTCAAGTGAAATCGGAGGGCATTGAGCATCCTTTTCCGAGATGTTCGGGCACGCTCACCGCTATGGCGGTGACCGGGGTGGAAAACTCCGAGGTCGTCGCCCTCTTCGGAGGTTCTCAAGGATTTTTTGAAGGATTTTCCAACTCGCTGCGCATCCTGTGCGCCGACGGAAAAGATGGATTGCGAGTGAGCGATGCCGCCGCGAAAGACGGTGACTTGATCTGGCGCGAGCCGATCGTTCGTGCGAATCCGAACAATCCTCCGAACAACCAAACGCCCGCGGCTCGATGGGGGCACTCCGCTGTGTCGCTCGACGGCAAACTCATCCTCTTCGGCGGCTCTAATACCACGCACTGCTTCAACGATACGTGGTTACTTGAGCTTGTGGTCGAGAACAATAAACTCGTCGCGACTTGGACACTGTTGGTAGACGGCAACAAGATGCCGGCTCCGCCGCCGCGCGCGGGTCAGACAGCTTGCCTTGTCGGCACGTTTTTGTACATTTTTGGTGGCTGTCACATTTCGGACGTTTTCAACGACGTCTGGAGACTTGATTTAAGCGCCGTGGGTCGAAGTTCCCTGAGATGGGAACGATTTCTCGCCGACGGAACCCCTCCCGCTCCCAGGGTCGGACACGCCGCTGTGGTTTTGGGCGATAGAATTATTCTTTGCGGTGGACGAGGATCGGCGCGCGGCGGCGCCGTGGGCAAATTCGCAACGGATGAAGAGGGTCTCGCCTCTATGCAAGGTTTGACCTTTTTCCAGAGCGGTTTCGCCATGCTCGATACCACCGCTAACAAATGGCTCCCGATTCAGTATCCAGTGATGGAGGAAACATTGGGCGATTCCATTAGTTGCGACCGTGTCACGCACGTTAGAGAACATCGCACCGGTCACGTGATGATGCCAGCCCGAAACGGCTCTCTCTTGCTCATCGGTGGGCTCGGATACGACGGTGTGTTCCAGAATGATCTCTCATTGGTCTCTTTATTCTGAGAGGCGATTCTCAACCGAACGCTGAACGAAGCGCGTTGACACTGATTATTTCTCTATTCTTACAACACGTGTATTGCCTCCCCGTATACTACTTCACGTACAAATCCGATGTTACAACACAAACAATTTATTCGTACGATTACAACCATCCCACCGCGATTCATCCATCGCCTTATGAAAATCCCACCGGTTTCGGCAACCCCCTGGAAACCATGCACATCGCCTTGTACCGAACGCCCATGCCCGGTGGTTCGCCCGTCTCGGCGTTCCCCGCGCCGTCTCCGACGAGGCGTTCGCATCCCTTCACCAACGCATTCGCCTGATCCTCGCTCGCCGCGTTCTCCACGAGCTGCTCGAGGCGAGCGACCAATCCGAGACTGAGAAGCAATTGCTGCTGCGTCACCGGGCCGTAGCACGTCACCCCTCTCTGCGGCTTCTCCTCCACGATTTGACGTAAAGCGCCAAAATCGACGTACGCCGATAGATCCGCCTCACCCGGACTGTCCAGAACGTGCACGAACTTGTGATCCTTGATCGCCTCGAGCGTGTTCCCGAGCGGCCCTTCCTCGCCGTAGTCGATTGCGAGCACGGCGCCGGAATTCTTCTCGATGCGATCGGCCAACTTATCCCAGAGCGTCATGCTCGGAGGACTGAGTTCGAGCAAGCGCAAACTATCGACTTGTTCTTTGGGAAGCCCCTTTAATCGCCTAGGGACGAGCATGTGGCTCGCCGGCGTCGGCCCCGGAGAGAGCACCATCGCCAACTCGCGTCTCGGCGTCGTCTCCTCAACCGTCTCCGCCGTCGACGCCAACTCGGCGTCGATGGTGACGAGTTTTTCGCACCATCCACGATCGGTGCGCTGAAACTGTCGCACCGGAAGGGCGTCGAAGAACTCGTGACAGATTACCAAAGTTGGCCCGTTCGGAACGCTCTCCAATCCGTCGTGCCAGAAAACCTTTGCGCCACTAATCTCGGACGTCCCACGCGTGTGCGCCTCACCCGAGGGCCCATCGCCGCCACTTCTTTTATCTACTTCCCCTCCCTCGCCCTCGAGCGCGTTCTTGGGCACGCGCACGCGCGCGCCGCCGTCATCCGCCGCCGCCGACGTCGTCTCCACGTCGACGCATCGCAACGTCCTCGCCTGGACCTCTCGCAACGCGGGCGAGACCTCGATCAAGTGCACGCTCACCGCCGATCGAAACTTCTCAAACTTACTCGTCCCTCTCAAGAGATCCGCCATGAGCGTCCCCCTACCCGGCCCGAACTCCACCACTCGCAGCGTTCCCGGCGACCCGAGCGCCTCGTGCTGCAGCGCCGCCCAGACGCCGAGCACCTCCCCGAACACCTGCGAGATCTCCGGGCTCGTCACGAAATCCCCATCTCTCCCGAACACATCCCCTCGCATGTAATACCCGTGTTCGGGATTCGTCAGGCACTCTCGCACGTACTCGCTCACCGGGATCGACCCCCCGGCGAACGCCATCGCGCGCTTCAAATGTCCAATCATTCCCGTCCGCTCCCCCTTTCCGTGCTCACCACCACCCATCCCTCGCGCCATCGACGCGCGATCGAGCGCCCGTCGCAATCCACCTCGATCGATCGCCACCACGCCCGCGCCCGCGCCCACGTCCGCGCCCACGTCCGCGTCCGTCGTCGTCGTCGTCGTCAGTCGCGCCCGCGTCCCATCCATCGCCCATCTTTGACGATCGATCGCGCACGCCCGGGGCATCCACCGAAGCGCCGCGCGCGCGGACGCGCGCGCCATCCCGCGCCCGCCCCGTCGTCGACGCCGCGGTCTCGCGCGCGACGGCGGCGACGGGCGTCGGGCGTCGCGCGACGACGGGTAATCGAAACCCCGTCAGCGCCCGCACACGCGAGGGGGGGCCCGGGGTGATCGAAACCCCGTCAGCGCCCGCACGCGCGAGGGACGACGGGGAATCGAAACCCCGTCAGAGACTCCACACGCGAGCACCCCGAGCCCCGTCGACCCCTCGCGCGCCGCCGGGGACGTCGTCGACGACGACCGCATCGGCGACGCGCACACGCGCGCGCGCGCACGACCGCGCGCACGACCGCGCGACGAACGATCGCGCGCACGCGGCGGGACGATCGAAACGGCGCTCGCGTGCGCGTGCGCGCGAGGGACGATCGCGCGCGGGTGACGCGAGAGGGCGTCGACGGGAGGACGACGACGGACGCGGACGACGACGGTGCGGGACGATGCCGGCGATGACGCGCGCGATCGTTCGATGTGTCCTCGACGGTGGATCGCGCGGACGTCGGGTCGGACGGCGGGTCGGACGCGCGCGCGTCGGGGGGGTCGAGGCGACGCGCGGGAGGGGGTCGGGCGGACGCGCGGGGGCGATATCCGACGAAGCGACGCTCGATGGGGCGATGAATGACGGTGAGAAGGGGGCGGTGAAGACGTCGAGGATGAGTCTGAAGGAATTGATCGCTCGGGGGGGCGAGTTGGCGCCGAGGGGGGGAGGGGGGTTCACGAATGAGAGCGAGTACTTTCACACGTATAGGGCGTTGGTGCGGTGTCGGCGCTTGCACGACGCGGTGGATCTGTTGAGGCACATGCGAGGAGCCGGGGTGAGGAATCTCGGTGCGAGAGTGTCGCACAGAGATTTCTTCAGGGCCTGTCGAAGCTTAAAGGTGGTGTCGGTTGGGTTTGAGTTCTTGGAGGTCATCGAGAGCACCGATATCCGCCCGTACAACATGCTCGTGCACGCGTGCGCCCAGGCTGGGGACATCAAGGCGGCGTTGTTGGCGAGCAAGACGATGTGGAACGCGGGATTTAGACCAGATCTTCACGCGTACACTACCCTGATCTCCGCGTGCTCCAAGGGTGGAGACGTCGAACGAGCGTTTGAGGTGTTTGAGGAAATGAAAAAAACGGGGCTTGAGCCCAACGCGCAGACGTACGCGTCTCTCATCGACGCCATCAAGCGAGAGATCTCGGTGACCGTCGCGGGATCAAAAAAGCGAAGAATAGATGACGACAGTGTGCGCGCTTCCTTAGACAGATGCTTCGAGGTGTACGAAGACATGAAGAAGAACTCTGTGAAGGCGGATATCGCGATGATGAACAGCTTGCTCAACGCGTGCTCACGCGTTGCTGCGGCGCCGAACCTTCGCAAGATCTCCTGCGAGAGAGCAGAAGCAGTTCGCGCAGACATTGTCGCGCAGGGTCTCAAGTTAGATTCATACGCGTACGCGTCCCTCATCTGCTGCGCCGTGGCGAGCGAAAACTATATCAAGGCTTTCGAGTTGTACGATGACATGCTCGACAGCGGCGTCTCCGCCACAGCCGAGGTGTACACGGTGATGATCCGAGCCTACGGTATCTTGGGAGAGGTCCAAAAGACGAAGGATCTCTGGGAAAAGATGCTGGAGAGCGGCGTGAAGCCCGACCAGATGGCCTACGCGACGATGATGCGCATCGCGCTCTTGGATAACGACGAGGACTTTGCGGATGACTTGATGGCTTCCATGAGGATGAATCGAGTTCGCCCAGGCGCTGAGCTGTACGTCATCCTCACTGGTGTTGCCGCGCGACAAGGCGACGCTACTAAGATTGAAGAGATCTTGTTGACGGCGAAAAAGCGAGGCATCACCCCTCCGATTGAGTGCTACAACTCTCTCGTCGCCGCGCACGCGCGCGCAGATCGGCCAGATCTGGCCATCAAGGCGGTGGAGAAACTCGAAAAGGCTGGGTTTGAACCCGATGCAATCACGTACGAAGGTTTGATCTTTGCTCACGCGTGGTCGAGAGACTACGAGGAGGCGAAGAGAATCTTTGAGAGACTCGTCGAGACGGGCATGCGCCCGACGTTCCCCACCATGAACTGTCTCGTGGCTTGCGAGGCGCGAAGAGGACACTTCGACGAGGTGCAGAGCATCATCGACATGATGCATGAGTATGGCTACGAGGACGATGAAATGACTTTGCGCGAGCTTCTCGTAGGATACGCTCGTGCGGGAGACATTGAATCGGCTTGGAGGGTGTACAAGGAGTCGCGCGCTGTCGGCAAGGTGAACTCCGAGCGCGCGCTCAACACCATACTCGGCCAGACGTTAGTGCACATTAGAAGCCTCACGAAGTTGAATCGCGGGAGTCAAAGTCGCGCAGAACTCGGTTCGTACGACGAGGGAGGGAATTACGTCGCCCAAGAGTGGGCTGAACGAGCCGTGTCTGCGTTCCATGAGGCCACCGTGGCTGGCATCGTACCCCGCGTTGAGACCTTCTCCACGATGCTGGCGTGCTTGCGTCCGCCGTCGACGAATGAACAGAATGCGTCCGATTACAGCGAGGTCGCGCGCGCCGTGAGCCACGAGATGAGTTCGCACGAAGACGCCGCCAGATATTATCCATCACAAGCGCTCATCATGTACGAGGAGGCTCAAAGCTTGGGCATCGTTGCTCCGTTCAGTCGTACCGAAGATTTCGTCTACGATATTCGAGAGTTCCCGCCCGCAGCCGCTGAAGTCATGTTACTCACATGGTTGCGAGTCGTTCGCCGTCTAACTGATGCAAACGGCATCGATACGGAGATTCCAACGTTGACCATTCGAGTGCGGGACGACACCGAGGTCTTGAGAATGCTCAAGGAGGAACACGTCGAAAAGAACGATCGTGCGCTTGCTCGTTTGTGCCAAACGGGAGAACGCGTACTCGTCTTGCTTCGGCGTTTACGCTTCAACTACGGCGGTGGCTTAGAGCAGGGATCAATAGAGTTGAGTGGCAACGCCGTCAGTCGTTGGTTGAGAGGTTACGCTCCACAAGAAGAACCAAGGGCAAACCTGTTCGGAGAGAACTCTCTCTCCGGGGGTGTAAGGAGCCAAGCCATGCGCATTCGCTCGAACACGTATGGTGAATCAAATGACGACGATGTATGGACGCCATCAAAGATGAGAACTCCCTCTTTCAACATCTACGACTACTACGGCGATGACAAGGATGATGACGACTTCGGCGCAAAGCCGTACTTCCCGAAGAACTGGGTGCAGAGCACCTCCAACGACGTATCAAGCTACGACGAAGATGACGACGACATCAAGGATCTCGAGCGAATCCTAGAAGATCGCAAATAAGCCGTACGCGCAGTATTAGAAACTTAGACGATTCGATTCATAATCAACGCATTTGCGCCGCTACATTTGCCGCCTTTCACCAACCAAGCTCTAATCGTGCTTCAAATCCTCCCTCGGCAGCGACCACTCCGCGAAAACGCGATGTACGTCGATCGGATGCCTGTGAGATTTCTACCAGAGTTTCAGCTAGCTTGGAGACTGAGTATTCGGTCAGCAGAGTCAAGATTTCTTCATCGTAATCCACCGCGGGAAAGTTCAGTTCTTCGTCGCGACACCCAAGCTTGAGCTTCGCGAGATCATACGCACGCGCGGCCGAATGCGAGGTGTCGAAAGAACCTAAGAAAAGTTTACTCTCGTCGACCGCTTCGCTGTTTTGTACGTACGCGTCGTATCGCGTTTGCCAAAGTTTTCGCGATACGCCTTTGTAGTTCACAAGAGTGGACTCGTAACCCACCGCAATCCCCTTCCGTGGAGCATGCAAATCTGATGGGAGCGAGTGCGAACGATCCACTTTATGTGGTCTACTCGGAGCACCCTTTAACATGGAACTAACGAGACTTCGCTTGGCATGATCGGCCTCGTCTTCATCGACGTCCTGGCCCGCTGGAGGAGTCGTGAACGCCCTTTGCAATACCGAAGTTTTGAAATTTTGATGACCTGATTCAGCCGATGATGGTGAACTCACCTCGCCGATGCGTCTCGCGCTTGACGCTCGTCGAGTAGTTGACATCGTCGCTCCGACGAACTGTAACGAGTTTGATCTAGGTTCACTCTTCACATGTGCACGTCACACCACTGGAACATCAAATATGTTTTGGTTGGTTGTTATTAAAACAAACATTTCTCTAGCTGCTACAGTGACCGTGGAGAGATCGTGCGTTGAGATCGAATTCATGACTCGAAACCCTCGGTCCACACTTCAGCTTGAACTTTCTCCTTCGATGCGGCGGCGAGCGCTTTGATGAACTTGGCGTGTAGCTTGTGGCCAGCCTTGTACGCGACGACGTGGCCAATCGGGACTCCGCTCATCCCGGGCTCGGCCAGCAAGGACAAGTCACCGATCAAGTCGAGGATCTTGTGTCGAGCTGGCTCGTTCGACACGCGAAGGGGAGCGTTCCAGTACGAATCCCCGTTCGCGACCAGGGCGCACTCCTCCAACCCAGACTTGATGTACCCGGCGCGGTAGTACGCCGTGAAGTCGTTCATTGTGCCGAACATTCTCGCCGGAGAAACGTGGAAAACATACGGAGCGTCCTCGGTCGGGGTCCAACTCTCCCACTGCTTCCCAATGGCTGTGCTCTTGTACGAGAAATCGATTCCGTACGTGAGCTTGCACACATCATCGACATTGAGCGACATAAAGGCGTCGCCCTCTCGCACCGTGACGTTCTCCGTGATCTTCCACGCCATTCGCGGAGCTTTGGAGCCGTCCGCGGAGAGCGCGGGTGTCGGGCCGACAGTGCAGATGTCGTACGCGTAGTTAGACGCGCTTCCGTCCAAAATAGGAATCTCCCCAGAACCCTCTAACTCGATACGGCAGTTATCGATGCCCATGGCCTCGAGCGCGCTCAACAAGTGCTCGGCGCCTCGAACGACGAAATCGCCTTTGAGCTCGGCGCTCAAACGAACATCTTCATTAGCCAGATCGTACGCGGCCCGCACGCGTTTTTCACTCTCGTCGTACGCGCCCGGCACCTCGACCTCGCTGTCTAGCTTGACTCTCGTGCTCTCCGCCTTTTCTCGAATCTTTGCCTTCTCCTCCTCATCGTTGCTCAGCGCCATCATCACATTCTCCAGGAGCATATCTTCCACCTCCTCCTCCGTGTATTCCGTCTCGCCCACACCGCTGACCTCGTCGACGTCGATCGTCCCGCTCGGCACCTGCACGAAGTACCTTCCCTCGCCCGCCGCCGCCGGTCGCACGCGCATCAGCTCCACCTCTCCGCTCCTTAACCCGTACCCGGCGTACGTCAGCGTCCTTCTGATCGTCTGTTGATGTTCCGCGTTCGCGGGCACCCGCAAGCGCAGCTCCGCCGCCATTCTCGCCGCCGCCCGCAGCTCGTCCCGACTGGCGAAATTCTCATACCCGTGCGTCTCGTCCAAAGTCGATCCCTGCGCGGCGTTCGCCGCGTGCACGCGCACGACCGCGCGTCCACCGCATTGATGGGTTTCGTCGCGTCCGCTCGCGCGCGCGCGTCGTCCGAGCGCGCGCGCAGACGACGCACGACGGCTGAGAGCGCTCGCGCGCGAGGCGGCGGCGGCGGCGCGCTCGACGGACACGATCGTCGACGGCATCGCGTTCGAGCGCCCGTTCGGTGCGTGAGGACGTCGGTGGACCTTACGTCGGTCGTGACCGGAGGCGACGACGGCGCGGTGGTGCGCGCGCGCGTGTGCGGACTGAGAGTGGGAAGAGGGAGACGAGGGTTGTTGGGGCGGCTTTGGCGACGGGAGCGAATACGACGAATACAACAACGATGTTTACAATCAGAAAGGGAACGGTGGAGGGTTGGAGACGAAGGGTAAGCGAATGAGATCGGTGTGAATGGGCGGGACGAACCACGGATGTTCGTTGGCGCCGGGAGGTGGAGGGAGGTATCGCGGACGGCGCGCCGAGGGCGGGTGCACGAGATCGAACCAACGCCAGTAAGCATCGTGCTCAGCTTGAGCTTCGGCGTCGACGTCGTTGTCGTTCCCTCGAAAATCAATCGTGTAACCGTTGATATTGTCGGGATCGAACGACGCGGGGGATTCGTCGACGAAGTCTGCGGCGCCAAAGTCGTCGGATGGATCGACGTCGACTTCCGGCGGCGTCTCTTCCTCCTCCGACGCCTCACTAGATTCTATCGGGGCCTCTTTCAGGGTCTGAAACAGTTCGGCGTCGTCCTCGTCGAGCTCATAATCGTACCAACTCGACGGTATGACGTCCGGTAAGGGTTCGATGTCGCCGCCGCGCTCCGCGGTGAGGCTGCTTTGGAGCTGTTCGAGCTCGCCGGCGGTGAGCACGGCGACTGACAACCCGTACGTACCGAAGCGGCCGGTTCGACCGACTCGGTGCATGTACGTCGCTCCACTCGGTGGCACGTCAAGATTCACGACCAGATTCACGTGCGTCAAGTCAACACCGCGTGCGGTGAGATCCGTGGAGACCAAGACGCGGAGTTGAAAGTTCCGCATGTCCTCCATCACTTTCATTCGACGCTCCTGTGGGAGCACACCCGCGGTGAACGCGGCTTTGACCCCTTGCGACGTCAGACGTTTTGCCAGAGCCTCTCCCCAGGCCAATCGACGGACAAAAACGACGGCTTGATGAAACGCCACGTCGTCGAAAATCTTCAACAACCGCGCCTCCTTGGCCGCGATGACGTCGGCGAGCTTGGTCTCCTCGACGAGGGAGTAAAACTGTCGAACCCCCTTTAACGCGGTCGTGCTCTCGCACAGCATTACCTTCTGCGGCGACCGCATTAATCGCTCCAAATCTCGTATCAACTCTCGCGAGTACGTCGCGCTGAACGCGCACACCTGCTTTCTCTCCGGCAGCATATTGTACGCGAAGAGCACGTCGCGCTCGAACGTCCCCGTGAGCAGCGCGTCCGCTTCGTCCAGGATCAACAATCTAATCCCATCGCACGCCATCGCTCCCTCTTCCATCATCTGTCTCGTTCGACCCGGCGTTCCGACCACGACGTGCGGCTGCAGCGCCAAGCGCCGTCTATCCTCCTTCGTCGGCAACCCCCCGACGAGCAGCGCGCACGTCATCTCACCTCGCACATCGCTCCCATCAACCTCACGAAAGCCTTCGATCAATCTCTCGACGCAATCCCTCGTTTGCGTCGCGCTCTCTCTCGTGGGCGCCAACGCGAGCGCCTGCGTGCGTCGCCGTCCCGCCTCCACGCGTTCCGCGACGACGATCGCGAACGCCATCGTCTTCCCGGTCCCGCTCTTCGCCTGCGCGAGGACATCGCATCCAAACCGTCCCAGCGGCACCGTCGACGCCTGCACCGGCGACGCCGCGTCGTAGCCGCATCGTCGAAGCGCTCGAACGAACGTGTGGTCCAGGCGCAGGTCCTCGAACGTGGTCTCGTCGCGCGCCGCCGCGTCCGCGTCCGTCCCTGCATCGCGCGCGCGCGCGGCGACGACGTCGGACGATCGCGCGCGCGCGTCGGGGCGTCGGGCGAGGGGCATGGGGCGACGCGGCGCGCGATGGTGACGACGATGATGATGATGATGACGACGACGACGATGATGATGATGATGATGATGATGATGATGATGATTTCACGACGCGACGCGTCAGACGCGCGCGCGACGGGGCGGCGACGACGATGGGGCTGTACGACGATCTCCCGGACGCGGTCGCGGTCGCGGACGCGCGCGCGGGGGCGACGGGGACGCGCGCGGAGGGGACGACGGAGACGGTGACGACGAAACGACGGCGAACGGAGACGACGGCGACGCCGACGACGACGGCGACGCTGCGACGACTCGCCCCGCACCTGGCGACGAGAGAGAAGTTCGCGAGGGCGTCGTCGATGCTCGGTGCGGTGCTCGCGAGCGAGGGGTGCGAGCGGCGGGATAACGCGGCGGCGTTCGAGTGCGTGCGAAACGCGATGACGCCGACGCCGAAGCGCGCGCTGGAGCGGGCGACGAGGGTGGCGTACGAAGAGTTATTTAAGATTGTTGATGCGGTCGCGCCGGTGATTTTTAACGCCAAGCAGAGGAGGAAGGTGGAGGTGTGGCGGACGTACGCGCTGGGGGCGAACGCGCTGCACACGGACGACTCGTACGCGTTCAGTAAGGCGGTGCGGGCTATTCAGGACAAGGTGGAGGCGCTGGATGCGTACGTAGATGAAGAACGGATCGATGTCGACGCAGAGATTGAGGTTCCGCCCGCGCCCGAGGACGCGAGCGAGGAAGACGCGAGAGCCATGGCGGAGGCGTTCGTGGCGGCGGTTAAAGCGGAACGCGCGGCGGAAATAGAAGCGCGCGCGGTTGAGGACGAGCAACGAGTGGCGTACATCGATTGTCTCGAAGTTGCGGCATCGTTGTATCACCGCCCTTGGGCGCAGACGACGATCGACATGATGGCAAACTTTTTCCACGAGCGACGAGACAAATTCTCGCCGTCGAGCCGCGAGGACGTCGTTAAAATTTGGGACGATTTACGCAAGAAGAAGATCGCGAGGAAGGCTGGTGGTGGCGATGGCGGGGATATGACGCAGTACGAGCGCGACGCGGCGCGCGCGGCGTCGACCAAGGTATCGGCGCGCGGCGCCGTGGGATCGGAGCGTCTCAACGACGGCCGAGGCGAGGCGTGCGCGAAAATGTTAGGTTAGCCCGTGAATTCGCATGCGATAACGCGGCGGTGTAATTTCAATCAATTCGTCTTCGATTCATCACAAGGCGACGACAGATTGTGTCACGAGAGAACGCGCCGCTTAGTTGCCCGCGTTCTTCAAGAAGTCTTGAAGCACGCCGAGCGCCGCGGTTTCCTCACCGAAGTCGCTGATCACGACGCACGAGCACTTCACAACCTTACGCGCGGTGCCTTCGGCGTCGAGCTTGCACAAACCAGCCCACTCACCGAGCGCCATCGCCTCCGGGACGCGAATCAAGTGCACGTTGATTTCGTTGCACAGCGCCTGGATGAGCTTGGTGTAATCAGCCTGGTCGCAATCTTGCGCCAAGATGCAGATCAAAGCCTTGCGGGACTCGATCGCCTTGCACGCCTCGCGCAGACCGCGGTGCAGACCGTCGCACGCGCCAGCCTTCTTCAGCACAATTTGCAGAGCCGTCATGAGGTCCATCGGTTCATCCGCCACCGGGGCGGCGACCTCGGGTTGTTCCTCGACGTCTTGGACTTCCTCGCTGCGCAAAAACGTACGCGATTATCGCCTCCATCGTCAGTCATCGTCCCTCGACGCGACCGCACGCGCACGCGCGCGTCGTCCCCCCCGTCGATCCCATCGTCGCCACCCTAGGGCTTTCGCCATCCCATCATCCACGCGCCGTCTCGTCGCCCGCGCGCGCATCGCACGCACTCGGCCATGATTGATTACGAAAACAAAATTGAGCGGTCCTCAAACGTCCGTCCTCGACGACTGTTTCGCCTCGTGACGACTCTCGCGCAGAAATGACCGAGCGCGAACGCGCGTCCGTCGATGTCGACGCCACGTCAGCGCTCGACGAGGTTGTGTGATGTGCCGACGAGAGATGGCGTTACGATGCGTTACGTTGCGTGGCACCGACACGCATGGACGTCGACGACGCCGTCGCGGCGGCGATGGGGGAGATCGCGCGCGCGCGCGCGGCGGTGGACGAGGCGACACGCGAGGTAGGGCGCGAATGGGGGGCGCGGGCGGCACGGACGCGGGCGCGAGACGGGCGCGGGCGCGCGCGCGGGACGGGCGCGTCGACGTCTCGCGAGGCGGTGGCGTCGAGACGGCGACGGGAGGCGGCGAAGCGGTTCGATCCGCGGGCGGAGGTGCGACGACGCGCGGTTGGGGTGGGGGTGGGGACGCGCGATGCGTCGACGTC